AGATATTTCAACCGTTCAAGCATTTTTTCTGTACGTGCTGTGATAATTTCAGACACCGGTCGCTCAAGGTCAGGTCACTTTGTCACGTCAAAAGACCTTACCCCAGAAAAGGTTATAATGCTCGCCATAGCTACGCTGGTTGAACGATCGCTTTTAAACTTTCAGCTATTAACCCGCGCCCTGCTAGGGAGGGGGGTGTTTGAACACCCCCTTGATTGTATGATTGTATGATGTATTGATCACCAACAGGTAAAAACCCAATGACAGGTGAAGTCAGCGCATGCACATAAATACCTACGACATGAACACGCAGTCATCACAGGATACACATGGATACAGATGCAGACTTCCAAAGTTGACGAAAATTTTGCTGCTTCCCTCTTCAACTTTCCCATTGGGTCTGTAAATATGTCCACTGAGGGATTCCAGGCGATAAGTTCGTTTACGACACGCGGTACACGTACAAAAAGACTAGTCAGTGTAGCATTTACACGACTATGAGGCATACTCAACAGAGTAAAAGATGCAGCTCTAGTGTGTCTTGGTGGAACATGCACATTAAAACATTCTAATAAGCAAGATGATGAGATGAGTCCTCTAAAAAGTTTCGCTAAAAACAGCACATCACACTGGACTCGTCTAGCACTCAGCGGCCGGACTTCGTAAAAAAGTTAGCAACTGATTGTACTCGAGAGACGGACAGCGGGGGTTCGTGTGGTTAGCTAGCCAGATCAGAAACTTGTGCTGAACTCTCTCAACGCGTACCAGATGAGTTTTTGCTGCTCCAGCCCAGATAACCGACCAATATTCTAAAATTGGCCGAACGTTAGCGTTAAAGGTAGCTAGGGCAGAATGCCTGTTGAAGTTGCAGCGCTGTGACGCTGACTGGAGAGTGCGTATGAGTAGCCCAAGAGCCTGATTTGCCTTTGACACAGTGGTATTGACATGAGTCTTAAATGTGAGTTTCTGGTCCAATGTGACTCCTAGGTCCTTGATTGAAGTCACATTTTCGAGTGCTACTCCGTTAATGTTATATTCTGTGCAAATGACTTCTTTTCAGAGTAATTTTGAAAGATTTGCATTTCGAAGCATTTAGCTGAAGTCTCCAGTCAGCAGCCCAGCGCGCAACAACATCAATGTCTTTTTGCAAAGTGATGGCGTCTTTTGAGGAGGCAATCCTGTGAAAAAAAAAAATCACGTCATCACAGAACATCAAACATTTGTTGAAACTACACAGGGCAGGTCGTTTACGAAAAGAGCAAAAAGCAAAGGCGAAAGGTGTCCTCCCTCCGGTGTTCTCGATGTCACGGGAACCCAGCCGGACACCCTTCCGTTCAGCACAACCCTTTGCTTCCGTCTCCCGAGGTATGATGCAAGCCAAGCCATCCAAGCCCTTGTGGTTTTTCGCGAATATCTCAAAAACGGCGGCGCGGAGCGCCGCCGTATTTTAATGCATCTTATCATACATCAATTCTACACATGTTGTGAAAATTTCAGACCAAGGTCATTCAAGATCAGGTCACCAGGTCACTTGAAGTGACCTCACCTCATAAAAAGTTTCAATGTCTGCCATTGCTACACCGAGTGACCGATCGCTTTGAAACTTTTAGCGATTGATAAGGGTAACAGTATCTATAAAATGTATTTATCAGAATTTTGATATTGGTGACCTAAGGTCAGGTCAATTTTGCGACCTCTTCATTATAAGTCAATGGGAAAAATTGAAATGCGCCCCTTTTGGACGAAAGACATTATAAACAGTGGCGGCGGAAGCGGGGGGGCAGCGGGGGCACGGCGCCCCCCCATCTTCCAGGGTGGGGGTGCAAACATATCTTTTTGCCCCCCCCCCCAAATTGTTATCGACGAAGTACCACAATACTTCCATACTACGTCATGAACATATGCCAGTTTGGCTGAGTACCTTTTTAAGTTAATAGAGCGAGTAATTTGGAATGGATTGATATTGTTGTCAATGTCGTCGTACATATTTTGATCACATTGGCTAGCATTTTGCAGTGCGAGTGTTACCAACCAAAAAGGTTTGCAATAGCCAATAATTGGCTAACTTTAATGACGTCATTGGTTTAAAGGAAGCAAGTTGTTCAACGCAAACAACAGTCACGGTGACAGCCACAGCGTGCTACACGTATTTGAACTGGACTTGCCGCAGTGGCGCGGGAACCAGAGGGGCGGTTCCCGGGAACCGGCTGGAGGGGCTAGCGGGGGCTGAGCCCCTCCAACTTTTCGGCGGGGGGAGGGCTCGTAATGTAGGTATTTGAGACCCTCCAACCGGAGGAATCGAAATCGGAAATCTACCAACATAATTTCATAGATTTATTACCTTTTCGAAATGTTAACCAGAAACAACCTTCATTATGGAGCGTTCTAACGCAGAAGACTGTGACAACATGTAAGCACATATTCATTCTCTAAATATCATACATTTCCACCAAACGCCCTCCACACATAATGCTCAGAAATCAAGCAGCTATCTACGAGCTACCGGTAACCGGAAGAGTAGGACGGAACGCGAGTGGCCCGGCATGCGGACGTCACAGAAGCGCGTCTGAGCGTGCCACAGGCCTTTCCCCGCGACTCTGCCAGACGCCAGCCGGCATAGACTCGTGAGCCGGGGGGCAGCATGGGGGTAGCCTGCCCCCACAACTCTGGGGCCGTGGGGGGCGCAGGCGCTGCCCCCACAAAGTTTCATAGGGCCAGGAACCGTCGGGGCAGCTTGTCCTCCCTATATTAGCGGCCGTGGGCCTCAAAGAAAAGCTGAATGGAAGACAATACCTATTTAAGTAAAAAAATCCCCCTCTATACCTGATTTGACAGCTCATGTGTGAAAGCTTTAAACGTTTATTCCAAGTTACCAAAAAGGTAGTTCCTTGACTCAGATGAGACGGGATATCTCACTTTTTGCAAATGTTTTCGTTTCGATTTTTCGTTGTAAAGGCCAAGGGGTGAAAAATAAGTGGCCTAAAACCGGTGAGAAAACTAGATTTGGGGGTACCCTAGGTTCCGGGAAGGATCAGGTGTGCCCCCCCATCCCAAAATACCTTCCGCCGCCCCTGATTATAAACACTCCCAAACACTGAATTACAAGTAGTTTTAACACCTTGAACATGACAATGGTGTCCGTGACCCCTATTTATGCCCATGAGGTCATCTCAGGTCACGAATGGTGTCTAACAGTTTTTCGCAAATAACTTTTGATAGAGGCATGCTGGAGCGGTGAAAACGCCTTAGATGTGTTCAGCTCGACGATACGGATCGACTGATATGCAACATGACCTTTTCCGGTCAGGTCATGACCTTGACCTGAGGTCAAATTTTCAAGTTGACCTTTCAAGGTCAAGTTATAGTTAATTCGATGCGTCTTGACGAGAGGAACACGATGCCGGTAAAAGTAAGCTCGTACAAGGCTTGGGTCAAAAATTATTGCAGAAAAACTTTCCGAAAAAGAAAATGCTATTTTTGCGGTTTTTGCCCCCTGCAGGCAAAACCGTTGACGTTAGGTCAAATCTGAGAGGATTACTTAGAAAGGGCGTTAAAAGGGCTATCAAATGCGCTTTTCCGCGGCGCTTTAGCTCTATTGGTTCCCGAGTTATGCGTTGGCTTCCTGGAAACTGTGGACAGTCGACCTGAAAATCGGCGAAATTTTGCCTTCAATGACCTCTAGTGACCTGACCTTTGACCTGACCAAAAAAGTAACCGCAGTGATTTCGTCATTATTTTTGGCGCTCTTTCAAACGCCGCCTACCGCGTATCGCTACGTGGCCCAGGAGCCGAGTTAGAAGGGGGGTGTTCAACCCCCCCCCCCCCCCAGCAGGGCGTGGAAATCCAGGAACCCCAGCCGGGCGCGGGTTAATAAGCGCAGCAGCAGCATGTACAAAATTTATCTCTCGGATTTCTGAGATCGGTGACCTCCGGTTAGGTAAATTTTGCAACCTCTTGTAACGTTGTCAGACACTGTACCGTACGTAATGTCAGGTTGTATCATGTGACGGCCGCCCGACCGAGGCAACCTCTACTTGAGTTTACGATTGCGCCGGTCCGCCGCCGGACGGGCAGTCTCAGTCTCAGTCTAGTCTCAGTCTCAGTCTCAGTCTCAGTCTCAGTCTCGTCTCAGCCTTCGTCGAGTCTGAGTCTAGTCTCACTCTCGTCTCAGTCGTGGTCAGTTCACAGGCAGTCTCGGCCGAGTCTCGGCAGACCTCCGACAATTACCGTTCACAGAATACAGTCAATTTTCCGAGCTGAACTCTTTTGACTGGAAGGCTCGCCGCGAATACTGCTACACCTCTCAAGTCAATGAGAGGGAATTGAAATGCACCTCTTTTGGACGATATCATATCATGTACTCTGAAACATCGGGTTAAAGATGAACGTGACAAAATGAAACGGAAAATGCATCAGCGACCACTCTTTATGATGTCCCTGAGGTAGTGAGGTAATCTCAGGTCATGAAAGGCATCCAGCAGCTACTTTTTTAACAATAACCCGCGCCGTGCTGGTGGTCTGAGTTTTCCGTGTCGTGCTGGGGGAGGGGTCGTTTTCATGCCCCTCCCCCCGTCTAACTAGGAAAGTTAAATTTTTAACACAAGGTGTCAAATCGATGTCGCTGAGGGTACTGCACGTTTCGTGTTGATCCGTCAAGCGGTTTAGAAGATATTGCCGAAAAACGGGAGGGGGGCTCTGTAGAGCCCCCCCCCCCTCCCCAGTCATGCGCGGGTTAATACCCCTCCCCCAATAGCGTTATGGAATATGGCTCTTACTACAGTCGGGTCAACGTAGGATAGTTTTTTTTTTGTCGATCAATACTGGGGAAAATGTTCAATCAAAGTCATTTTTATATCAAATAGGTACATCAGGTTTTAGGAACCAAGCTCCCTTCATCAGCCGCTCTGAAATTCATTCAGGTGTTTATTGTTTAAATCAATGACTAATAATTGCGGTTCACAATATGATAATCGTTCCATCTATTTGTCCCGCTCCGGCAGGTGCGAGGATGTAGTGCAGTCGGTAATCGGTATCAGCCGGTGGTTCCAACCGCTGAGACATCGCAGACTTCTGGTGTCTGCTGAGAGCGGAAAACCAGCGACCACGGCAGCCTCTTCGTCTACTGTGGGGTGGAAGAAGGCGCCAACAACAGCATCGAGATCTCCAACGCTTGCTCCGTCTTTTCCGTCACGGATCGGCAGAGCGGAGGTGGGATGAATCGCCCCCAGCGATCCGCCAGTCACCCTCGGTACGAGGGCAGGGATGGAACAGCGACTGCAGCGACACCTGCAGTGGCAGTGGTGGCGCCCTCTGTGCACGCCGAGCCAGCCCTGCCGCCAGCAGCCAGGAGAGACAGCGGAGGGAGCCGCGGAGCGATGGAAAGGCTCCATCGCACGATGCCGATGCCGCTACCGATACAACCAGCAACACAACTACGACAGCCACCAGAACAGTGGCATCAGCTCCGCGAACCGCCGCCTGCCCACCTCCAGTCCACACTACGGAACACCGCCCGCCCGCTGGAGCCATCGTATATTCCTCGTCACTCCGCTCAACCACCTCCTGCGCACATGTCCCATCCACCTCTGCTTCGCCGTCACTCCGTCCCAACCTTGCCTCCTCCTCCGGCACATCGCTTTGACCTGTCTCAAGGGCCACACCAACGCGAGACGGAACCCGCCAGTGACGGAGCTCTGCAAGCGCGCAGCATGTCACTGTCAGTGTCGGAGACGCCACTTGCCAGAACGATGCCTCCGCTCTGGGTGAGCCGAGGATCTCAGATGCCACCGTCAGTTCCGAGGCAGGAACCAGCGCCCCTTCAACCACGTACTTCCAATGACGTAGGACCACTGCCAACACCACTGAATTTATTGCTTGGAGCGGAGCATCGCAGCACTGCTCCTATGGTCTTCCCACAGTCAAACCTTGCAACTTCAGAGCTAGATAAGCTCGAGCAGATGATCCGCACCTATATGGACAAGTGGCGAGCTCCTGAGCTGCATGATGATCGATATTCGAGTTTGACTAATCAGCAGATGTCTGAGCTTGTCATGGCGCAATGTGAGACACCTGAATGTCTTGACGCACCACGTCAAGCACGTCAAGCTCCTGAGCTACCACCCCTACAACGTCCAGGTGCTGGAGGACCCCAACTTCATGGGCCGGAACATTCACGCCTGCAGAGCCAGGTTGCAGGATACCGACAATCGGATCACCGAAACAGCGAACACCCGAAACCGTTACCAACAGCGTCGAAGAGACCAACGTATCAGCATTCTTTAACATCAGAAAGTCCGGCTGTGCTGCGTCCTTATCAAGGTCATCCGATTCCACAGCGTCCGATCCTGTTCTCCGATCCGGCTTCCGCTGTTCCGTGCTCAGCTCCTCCGAATGCCCATCAGGCGCACCTTGTGGCACGGCACAGGTCGCAAGCTCAGAACGCTACTGCTCTCTACCCAAGTACAGAGACTGGGCACGATCAGCATCTCTCTCAAACATGGCCTACGCCTCGCCCTCCAAAATCCATGGACAATCACCTCACCGACACGGGAGTTGGGCCTGCTATCAAAGAGGCATGTCAGACATTGAAGAATTCATCGCTTCCAGTGGAAGTGCTATCCTCTCTGAACAGGTTCAGGGCTCCTTCGAGCTCCACTACTCACCAGAAGACGCCAGCGGCAGGCAGTCGACGGATGTCGAACACACACAACCTGAAGCCGTTTGTTTTGGACAAGATGCATGCATTCTACGAGCACGCTGCGATCAGCCAAAGGGCAGAGATGGGAGCAGAAGGAAGATCCAAAGCTCTGACTCCACCAACAAATCAGCAGGCGGCCCAGGCAAAGTTCCAGCTTCAAGTAAAGCATGAGGCCTCATCCACCCAGGTTCAATGTTCAACGACTCGAGGCCAGCCACTGACGCTGAAGAATGCACCGGTGACAACGACTACAACTCACCTACCAGCGGCACAAGCACGGAAACCAGCTCTTGCCCCGCGACTTCCTCCGCCAGATCCATATCCACATGCAGGAGACACGACACTCGACACGCTGGATCGCCGTAACCGCTCAGCTCTCCCACCGCCGTTGCTGCCCCTTCCACCACTATCGCCATTAGATCCCGTCCTCGCGTCAACAGACGAGCCTCACACTCCGCCGCTCACCATGCCACCGCCACCAGCGCCAGGGCTGTATGTCACACCGGAGAACGGGGCGGGCCAGCGAAAGGGAGGGTTCGTCGACACACCAAGACCGACCTGGCCGCCGCCCGGGGAGAGGTTCCGCGCGAATGGAGGGCACAGAGAGATCATGTCAGATCGAGATGGGGCGGCAGACGTTGGGTCGCAGCATGGTCGCTTGCATGGAAAAGAGTGCACTGAAGAAGAAAAACAGGGTGGAAAAATGAGCTCAGCAAAGGTTCTCTTGAAAGGGGGGCTACAGCGAAAGAAAAGAGAGGGTGGTCGATTCGAAGAAAAACATTCAATGAAGAAGGAAGATCAACCGAAAACGGGCAAGAGGAATGATGATCTTCCAACACTTCAGGCAGACGGTGTTTCGATTAGGAAGACACAGTTGGAAGAAACTTCTAAGACGAGGTTGGAAATGCTCAGAAGAAAACAATTCCCGATCCAAGAACACGAGCAGCATTCATCGTTGAAGGAGGTTCAAGAAAGAGGCTCTAAGCAATGTTTCAAGGACATGAAACTAAAAGATACGTGTCCTTATCTACTGCAAGACAGTGAAGCAAAGCTGGTAATTCAACAGCCCACGCACGTATACTGTGTATCTCTCCCAGATACACAACCACCGGAACCAAGACCAGTCGCTGACGGAGATCAGTCGAGACAAGCTTCTGCTTCATCCCTTGCTGGACAAGGCCCAATGGAAGTCGAACCTTCAGACAGCCGACAGCAGACGACCCAGCATCCTGATGAAGATACTCTTTCTCCAGCTAATATGACGTCGGACAGTCGAAGAGATGAACTGGCATCACCCAGTCACACACATCAAGCACCAACGGTGCCCGGAAGAGACCAGGCCAGCTCAAGAGAGGCAAGACCATTCGCTGATCAGTATCGCGACAGCCTTTCAGCACTAGCGTCTGAGAGCACGCCACCAACAAGTTTGGACACGGTCGTGTCTGGTGTACTCAGTCCCAGAGCATCGGCGCCCGGTGGGATCACCCATGGCACCACCAATGCTGTTCACAGAAGTGACAGAACCAATGGACAAACTCAGAGGGAAATGGCTGAAGTGAAGGATGATGCGTACATTGCCTCCCTCACTACTACGGATGGCGTCGTGATGGAGGCTGGGCCACATGATCTCCGAGTGACGTGTTCCGACGTCCCTCAGGCAGGACCTGCTGAAACGGTTAGGTGTGGCAACGAAGCAGATAAGTGCCGCTCTTCCACGGAGAAGCAAAGTATTGCCGACTCCAAGAGTGGCATCAGGAACGACCGACCGGAACAGAGTGACACACCTACTGTAATATCGGATAGCACAGGGCAAAACACAGCTGCCACAGTCGAGATCGTCACCATCAAAGACGACAGCAGCAGCATGAGTGATTCCGCCAATGGCACCACCGCTGCCACCTCAACGAATCATCATATGTGCACAGCTTCATTCGTTCAGCGTTCCACCAAAGCCTCCAAGAAGAGCGTCATCACCAGGCCTCGCGATAGAGTCTGCAACGCCGCTGTCGACGCCGTTCTGGACCGTATCGCAGCAACCCCGACTTCTTCTCTCGAAGATACTGGGGAGGACCAGACGGGCATCACTGCACTGGAACTGGCCTTTGGTGCCTTCGATGTCATGGAAATTGCCAGTAGCGCGGACTTCATTGAGCGATTTCACCTGTACCACTTCCTGGCCGTGTACCGCAATGAAAGGCTCGGACAGCAGGGAGGTCATGTTCACGGTAGCAGCGGAGTCAGAGGTGCGGCTGTCAACGGCCGGAGCTGCAACAGGAACCAGGACAGGGCGCTAGACTTATCTAGAGGAAGCTCTCGGTGGCTCTCAGGAGAAACGCCGGATGAAGAACCACAGGTGGTAGGCACTGCAGACTCAAAAAGCTCCCCTACAACAGAGAAAGCACAGGTGGATAAGACGGGTACTGCAGAGCAGGCTTCCGTAGCCACACAGATGGCTGCGGCGGAAGGGAGAGAGAAGCGACGTCGACAGCTCAGCGGTGCCCTGAATCTGACCACCCGGCCGGCCGTCAGGTCTAATACATTTGAAGGACCAGAATCGGCGCAACAGAATCAACTGGAAACCCACCAGGGGCGACAGATGGAGAACCTTCTGATGAACGGCCAGCAACGAGGAGCAAACATGAACGGATGGAGCAGTGGCTGGCAACAAGGAGCCACACGCGTGGCACCCAATCTCGATCTCCGCCCTTCGGAAGCCCGAACTAATCTTCGAGGAAGCATGAGCAATACGGAAAGCAGATGGTCTTCGAGCGGCCGACATGCAGAGGACAGGGACTTCCGAAATGGCGGAACAGGACCTGTCGAACAGGCAAATGACCCGTCACAGACGTCGCAGCTCGATCCCAGCGGACCTTGGATTGACGGCATCGATGCTTACCGCCGCGATGGAGCATCAAAGTCGTCTACGAACCAAGACCTCATTCGGAGATTTGCCGACGCCGGGACTACCAGAACGAGCGAGAGGCATCCAACCGATCAGTCACCGACATCAGGAACGCCACTCAAGGACAAATCCCGACCGAAACCACTGCACATTCCTCCAGAGATATCTTCATATGAGCATGGAGGGACATCAGTGCCATCAAGTGACCAGCTGGAGCTTCTGAATGGGCGCAAGAACTGTCCCAGCCCTCCGGCTCAACCAGGAAGGGAGCGAACGGCAACGCTTCATCCACGTCACTGCAATGCTGCTAACCAGGAAACACCGGCAGCAACGATGGCAAACATAACCTGGCGACAGCCACCATCCAGAGATGAAGCCAACGCAACGATTCAGGTCAGAAACGGGGCAGTGAACGAGACGACGACCCAGACCAGAAACGGCCCCAGGCGGGAGCCGACCACGACAGTGCAAAGCGATGGAAGAAGCGATGCCCGAAGCGTGACTCCGATTACCCCAATTACACCATTCAGCGAGAGCTCTTTGTCTGTTTGGATGAGCGAAGATAGCCTCCCGGAAGAGGAGGTGACTGTGGTCGCAGAGAAGAGAGCCCGGGCAGAGTCAGACGACATCGCTGTTCAGTCACAACTGCTGCGGGCATCCACGCCGGAGCGTGAAGGCGACGCAGCTGAAAGGGACTCGAGAACCATCCAGATAGTGTGGCAAAACGGCAGAAACGAAGAGAGTGTCAATGCTGGGCGTACTGGAGATTCAGACAGGCTCCATGATGATAGACGCCATCAACAAAACGAAGCCAGTAAGGTAACTCAAAACGGCGATGAGCACAGTGCTGTAGGCAACAATGGTTGTGGAACCCACGAAGAATGCGACATCGAGCCAATGCTCGAGACGTCCAGTGCTGCCCAGACCTCTCAAGATGATCCCCTCGAGCGTATTACCCACGCAGATCAGGCGGCAGTAGCAAGTCCATTAGCAATCTCTTCTCCAAAGGAACTGACTCCACGAGCTTCTCCAACAGGGGACCCCGTGGAGCCAGCGACACTACCTACCGACCGCGCCGAGGCCAGGGAGGCCGACAAGCGCCGGCGACGTCTGATGGCCGCTGAGATTCAGGACCAGAACGAATGGCTGACGATGGCTGACGAATTTGCGGAGAGAGGGCAGATGAGGGAACGACGCACCTCACTGATTGGGCGCGTTCTGAGAGCGATGGACAGGCAGAGACCAGACGATCGGGAGGAAGATACTGGGGAAGATGCAGGACGCAATCCGGATGATAACTTCATTGGGGAGCAGCGAGATGTACTGAATCTGCAGATGGTTTCTGAAAGCCATTCTGACGATGATGTTGATTCTGTACAAAGTGTTCGCCCGTCCAGCGAGCATCACCAGATCCGTGCCAGCCACGCCAAACCCAAGCCTTGCTCAAATAAAGGTTCCAAGAAAGACGGCTCTCCCGCCACCGGCGATCACCTTATGGAAAACAAATCAACAGCCTCCCGTTCCTCAGCTGACGAGCTTGGTCGCACACCCTCTCCCTCTCTCGCCACAGACGCGATCCCACCCCGTCGAGCGCACTCGGGTCGCGCTCCATCTCGCGACTTCCCACTTCCCTCCCTCCCTCCACAAGACCTTCCCACGCCGAGACCCCTCTTCCCGACGCCCAGAGTTCCACGCTACGTCGACCTGCCGCCGCCAGAGGAGGACCCGATACTGAGGAGAAGATCTCGCCAGTTCTGGAGGGCCGTTCAGGGAAGACCGGGAAGGGCGCTGCGTGCACATCTGATGGGTGGTTCAGTAGCCGATATGAGGGCAGAAGTGTTGCGGATTCATTTAAGATCAACTGGAGAAATCTCCGGATCGCCTGAGTTTCCAAGAGATGTGCCAAGGGAGATGCTAGTGCAGGTTGAAGAGGAAGTAGATGGCACTGTGACGGAAAGCAAGCCTGCTCGACTGGAAAGGAATCAGACACAATCGGATTTCAAATCTTATCTTGGAGAAGGCTCGACTTCGCGAGCACAATCTACGTCCGAAAATGGATCGGCCAAACCACTGGTATCTTCCTCCCTCAAAACACATTCGTCTAGGTCGCAGGTCTCAGAGGAGATGCCGACACCTCACACTACACCATCGTCGTCACATCAGCGGACTCCAACACCGCAGCCGATCCTTCCTGTCCCCACACGGTCAGCATTCCGACGTCGGTTCTACGGACAGCTGCACCGTGTACTGTGGCCGAGCAGTCTACCGGAGAGCCCGCTTGACCTCCGCTGCACGCAGCGTCAGCAGTCTCAGGAAAGTGAACCACAGGGAGAAAACCTGCAGGAGGCTAGGAAGAGGACATCAGCGGACAGTCCACCAATCGTGGTGCTTCATCCGCGACCTACGTCCACCCCAGGACAAGAGGTGGAAGACGATGGACCGATGGATCTCAGCTGCAGGGAACGAGGCCGTTGATGGCAGCGCTGCCAACGGGAGACAGCTCACTGCTTCAGACCGCGGTTCGTGTGGCGAACAAAACCCGACTGGGGAAGTGTGTAAGGCCCATGAAATACGAATGAGGATTAGGATAAAGTGGAGGAGGTAGTGTCTTTGATTGGGGACATGTTTTCGCCCCCAGCTGTGAGACGCTGTGTTGTTCATCTTGTTGTTGTTCGTTTCGTTCTTTGTTCGTTCCAGTTAAATACATTTCATCAATTATTGAACATTCTCATTCTTTCGTGCTCAAATTTTAATGCTCATTTCACTCAGCATTTTAAGTAGTCATCAACACCAGCAAGTCGAAGCACACAGTAAAAACAAAGTTACAAAGAAGAACCGAATCGCCGATCCATGCATTTTATTATCGACACTCGAGCACTACACAACCATGCCAGCATGCAGCGCTCAATCCACTTGCACCGCCACAGACCTTCCCAAGGTCGGTCCGTAAGGTCGTTACTTCCCAACTCATCGACCTAATCTGCCCGAAACCTCGACCAGGCCGTCCCTGAACACCTCGCCGAACTGACCTGTCGCGATCCTCCACGAGTCTGTCGCAGAACACGCGGTACACCTCGTGTACCCAGAGGCGCACCAGTTTGGCGGCGTCCGGCAGCTGGGCGGCCGGTACCAGTAGCACCCCGCGCACCACGCGTGCCAGGTCCCGCAGGTTGAACACGTAGTGGGACTTGGCCGGTGTTGGCAGGAAGGTGGTGACGGCCGCTGCGTACACGGTGCGAGTGGCTTCCACCAGCGTCTGAAAGAACGGGGTCAGAGTGTAAGTGATGGGTAAAATCACAGCTTCAGCGTACATCGGACCCGCGTACCGTAAAATATGCAATGAAGACAGCTTAAATACTCGGCACCAGTAGGTATAGCCAGCTTGGTTCTTGAAGTCGTGGCGTTGTTTCAGAAATATCTTCCTGAGTACCGCTTATCCATTCCCGTATATATATTATCCATTCCCGACATATATACATACACAAGCAAAACTTATCTTAAACATTGCCGTCATTTCTCTTTTTCTTTAACGTCCCATACCTTACTACAATCGGCTTTGTAATCTCTCCCACCCTGACCAGGCACTCACCCGTCCGAAGCGCGCCACAGCCGTGTCGAAGCCCTTAGCGAAGTGCCAGTCGACGATAGCGCCAAAGATCTTGTTGAGCACTTCGTCCTGGAACTCGTCTATGCCGATGACGTTCAGGTGACGTATAAAGCGACTGGTGACGTCGTTTCGACCGCCACCGGGAGGACCCATCGCGGAGATGAACAGCTGGCGGCGACAGGCGGGAGGGAGAGGGTAGGGAGTGAAGTGAGCAGCGTCTCACGTTACCCACAACAAAGAAATCGGAAAACGGGATAAGGTTGCACCTTTCGATGTCTTTATATTGATCGATTTGAACGCTGGCATTATCCCGCGCCCCGCTGGGGGGGGGGGGCAGAATCTGCCCCCCCTCCCGTTTTTCGCCAATAACTTCTAAACGCGTTACGCCAGCGACGTCAAACTTTCAGTACCTTATCATACATCAATTTGACACGTTCCCTGAAAATTTGAGCGAAATCCGTCGGAAAATTTTTGAGAAATTGACGTTTTAGTGACGTCATGTTCGCCATTTTCGCCTCAAAAACGGCAAAATTTCAAACGCCGCTAACATCTTCATTTTTAAAGGAATCAAGACGTAACAAAAAAGGTTATACGTGATTCTACTTTGTCTATCAAATGGCTATCTCGGTTTTTTGAAAATTTTGGATTTTGGCCAAAATTTTTCCAAAAAACTGACTTTTTTGGGAAAATATTTATAAAATCCAAAATTTTGAGTTTATCGAAAAAACCGGAATGTATGTCAAAGAAGTGGTCTATGTGCACCCACATACCAATTTTTAGAAGAATCGGTTCAAAAATGTGGGAGTTATTCAAAATTGTATGACGTCACGACACACAAAAATTTTGAAAAATGATTTTTTTGGAAGTTCTAGACCTCGTACGGAAACAAAAATAGCACCATTCGATTTGCCGTGAAAAACTGCATCGGATAGACACCTTTTTAGGCCTTAACAACCAACTTCAAAATTTGACCTTACTTGACCTGACCTTGACCTGACCTCGACCTGAAATTCATCCAGAGGTGGTCCATATCACTTATTGAGTGTGCCTATTGAATTCCATGAGTAAAATGACCCATAAAACATGTGCCGCACATGCCCTTTTCTATATTTTGTTTTTGGTGACCTGACCTGACCTGACCTGACCTTGACCTTGACCTTTGAATGACATTGTGTGCAACGAATATTGTCTTGGTAGTCTAAGAACACGTTTTGGGCAATCAGTCTCAGTCCATTCTTCGGCAACTACGGTGCAAGGCCGATACTGTGCAAACTTGCATTTTGTACCCTTGACCTGACCTTGACCTGACCTCTGACCTACTTAAGCAAAAAAATTTGGGCTCTTAAGATCCGCCTTGTTGAGAGCTTTCGATTGCCGTTTTCCCCGTCTTTCTACGACCATCGGTTCGGAAGTTAGACAGGGGGGGCAGAATCTGCCCCCCCCCCCAGCAGGGCGCGTATGGCTGAATAGCCCAGCGGGGCGCGGGTTATCAGTCGATCAACGTATTGCTAAGGTGGCACATAATTTTACGCCTGTACAGCATCTCATTAGCAGGACTGAAGCCGCGGGGGTGTCTCTAATCTGATCTAAATCTATCTTTTTGTTCAGCTGCGCCTATCTTCTGATACAGCCAGCAGCCTTACTCCTTCACAATAGGAGGAGTTCATATCGTTCCTTGTCGCTCTAAATGCCCTGTGCTCGCTTCCCTTTCCTCCCCCCCCCCCCCCCTCTTCGCCTCCCACACGTACCACATCGATGAGCTGCAGTTTGGAGGTGTCCTTCTTGTCGTACCAGTGGCCGTGGTCGACCCACTGACGGAGCAGCTCGATCGGCGGCTGGGCGCCGTATTTCTCCTTCTGCGGCATGTTCAGGTCGTCGACGAACACAACGCACTTGCGGCCCATCTGTGGACCGTAGACACCCTTCCGGCGCCTGCGGTTGGTAGGAAGAGAAGGGAGATGGGGATGAGTTAGTGCACCGGCTAGGAAACGAACCACTCTGGATCTTGATTTATCAATTATCAGTTGAACGTCTTACGGGACAACAAACGAGCGATGGCAACAACCGAGTCTCTAAAATGTGAAGTGAGACCTCTAAAAGACTTGTGAGAGTCACTTATCCTACCGTTACCTCAATGGACCTTAGATTTGGTTGCAAACAGTCCAGCACGTTCATTAGATGTAGAAGCTGTCTCCTGCACAGGCACACGTCAATCGGGACCACAGCTGACTTGTGCGGGCCACTCTTTCAACCGATGGCTAATTGCGCACCAGCTTTAATTATGTGTTTATCAATCCAAGCACAGGTTTTACGCCCACTGCAAAGATCTGTTACATCCCAATCCCCATAGTTAAGCAGGTCGGACAACGTCACCAACCTGTCCAGCTTGGACTTGGCGATCTTGTGTTTGTTCGATTAAGAACATGTCGGATAGTCTATATCAGCGAATAGATCACGCCGGGTACACGTCCAATTTGAACATGATTATACCCCATGTCTGTCAACTGTCCAATTCAGACATCCCACGCCCCTCACCTGTCCAGTTTGGACATGACTATATCCTGCGTCTGGCCGGCGGTGGTGCGCGCAGAGAAGCTGATCGTGTTCAGCACATATCTGTCCCGCGGCAGGCCGACCAGGAAACTGTTTGTAATGGCTGACTTCCCTGTGCCGGTGGGGCCGACCATCAGAAGCGGTACGTCGTGTGACAGGTAGGTGTTGAGGAGGAACGTCTGACGGGCCGTCTCGTCCGTGGCCACCGTCAGCTCGCTCACCTGGGTGGCGAAGAAGAGAGAGAGAGAGAGAGGGAGGCGAAGACGGGACAGTTGGTGTCTTTGTTCTGGTACAGAGGATAGTGTAAGGTTCGACATTAGTACTGTCATGAGATTGACTTTTTTATTATGCATCACATTACGCTTTCAAATGACAATCCTAGTCACAGTCACTCGAGATAGAATTATCTACGTAACAAGCAGCCACAAGCAAACAGGTGAAATGGGTGATTGAATGGCGTGACAAGAAAGCCGGACTTCAACTGTTTAAGGCGTGATTGAAAAGCGACGATTAACCAGCTTCTTATCAGCGCTATACACAGATTCCATCACCAAACATGACTTCAGAGAGCCAAAAATCCCAGAATAATGACACACGCTAACCTTCCGTCCCATGCGTACCCTTGCAATCATTTGTAGGTAGCTCATTTCCTACCTTGGCATTGGCCGGTATCTGCAGGAGCGCCTTGTCCACCGTGTCAATCCAGCGGACCCAGCGGCCCGTGTCGCGCTTCTCGTACATAAAGTCATACACCAGGCCCGACTCGGGCGGCAGCTGGCTGAAAACCGATGACGGGGTGAGGTGGAAGAAAGGTATCGGAAATGAGTGAAAGATTGACGACGATTAAAGAAAGATCATGATCTAATCAGCAGCTTGCAGTCGGCAGGTCAATCAGATCATAAACGTGATTATTGCATTCATAATATGCCGCACACAGCTCACAGCCGTTCGAAATACGCATATTTACTTTCCTCGTTCATCCTGAGGAAAGCGATTATCACCCGTCCAGTGATGCCTCTGAATTTATCGCGCTTGCACGCTTATCTCTAAATTTCATCTCTGAATCACGTCAGCACTGGCCACTGAGCCACTGAGCCACTATCACAGTCCTCACTCACCCCTTGCCAAGTTTGAACGACTTGGGTTTGGTGTAGGTCTTGTTGGTGCCCAGCAGAATATCTCGGAGCAGGGCGTCGAAGGCTCGGCGGCTCTCGGCAGTCATCAGGGAGCCGACTGACCACGGTAGACAGAACACAAACAGACCCTGCCGGCGTGAACAGATTTTTATATTAAATCCCTGGAACACTCACCACTGAGTCACTGACATTATCATATTCTTGTCATACTCCAAGCAACGATAGGTCCTGTTCCTAAAACTTTTTTTCGTCAGTGGGTTTGAATAATCACTTGGTATCTAGATAGCCAGGCTATCTGCCAGAGCCACAGCTGGAGCCTGTTGGTGAGGTCGCATTAGTCTAGGCATTAGGACCAAGTGGATGAGGTCGCACTGTAACTACCCTGGACCCAGTCGGTAAGACAGAGGTAGCACTATAACTGACCTGAACCCAGTTGGTGACGTCGCCGTGGACTGACCTGGACCCAGTTGGTAACACAGAGGTAGCGCTGGACTGACCTGGACCCAGTTGGTGAGGTTGTTGGGGTGGATGGCGTCCTTCCCCGGCTGGGTCGACTCGGCAATCTCGTCCAACATACACGTGTACAGCTTGGTAAAACACTGCCGGAACGGACGGGAGTCACGACATTTGCAACAGCCAACAGGATAGAAAAAGGCCCAATCCACTCAATCATTTGATGAATGATTCTAGCACAATGGTCACAATATCACATTGAAAGATTGATAATAGTGTCATCGACAAGCAGCCCCATGACCAGTAATTTACGCTTCATAAAATAGCAACTGATGATATGTAACTCGAGGGAGCCCTTTCATCCTAGCAAATATTAAATCCGCTCCGGAGGAAATTTTCCATAAAAGCACACGTCAAAAACGACGACAGATCGAAGCAATGCCGAGTCACAACGCTACACTCACCCAGACCAGATGCAGCTCGGACGTTCGCATGAACACCTTAGCCTGGTGTTTGAGGAAGTCGAACAGCGGGTCCATGAGCCACTCGAACATGTCGTCAATACTGGCCTTCAGCTCGTCAGTGATGGCAGCCGGTAGCGTGGTCAGGTAAGAGTCCTGAGGAGCGAGGGGAGGGAGAGGGGAGGGAGGCGAACGGTCAGCGCAGGAGGGTATGGTATTTTCTTCTTAATTAATATTTACTAGGCAGGAACCTAACTAGCATTCACCTAAGTTTTCAGTCTTGACGTTCTAGCTAGTCTATCACCCACAGGATTTTCTGTCTAATAAAAAGTATGATCTCCTTAGCCTCTGTCCTCTATCTCGCTGCACCAGACCTTCACTATTTAGTTGTTTCTTCCTAAGTATCAGGGCATTTTCCCTCGTGTCTTCTCCTACAACTCGTATGTTTTCTATGTATACTCGTGATATACCCCACTTCCTTTGCATCTATGAGCCTTCCTTATCTCGGCAGCTCACTGAAAACCAAGCAATCTTTCTCTGCATATGTCTTCATTTTCTCTGTCCGATGCACCTTTTCATAGTCTTTCCCACCACTCCTACGCTCATCCATCGTACCTTGATGGGCCTCCATCCGAGCTGGTGCGGCTCCATGTAGATCATACCGCACCGGGACACGGTGGCAGGGGAGGCCTGCTCCAGATCAGCCGGCTCGAATATCAGGTTCATCGAGCTGCTCATCTGTACAGAGGGAGAGATGGTGGCAGTTATAATATAGATGCCAGAAGCGATACGGATACGGCCGGCTCCTATGGCTTGCCGTTCACTCCATTTACACAAGCTTAGTGATAATGAAAACAAAATTCATTGTCAATAAATACGCTTGCCTTTCGGACAGTCTTCCTGGGGCGTACCTAAACTTTTTTATCCCCCTATGATTATCGAAACCTTCTCCTGACATGATATATCGCCCCCCCTTTGCCCGATCTGTTAAAGCCGCGATAGTGGACGGGGCATCAACTGATCGTCGCTGACCAACGGGTTGGTGGGTGGGTGAGTTGTACCTGTGGAACTACGAAAGTGTCTCTGTCCGTGCTTTGACGTGAGTGAATGTGTGAATGCTGTGAATGTTTAGATTAGTAACCGCGGATACGGATTCTGAGCAGTACCTAATCGCCACGCACTTTCAGAATGTGGATCGCTCATGATTGTTCAATACAATACAATACAATATATAATTTATCTGACAAGAAAGACCTCGTGCTTGAATGAATCGTGTTCAATGAGTCATCCTGACGCTATTTCCTCCCGTACACGAGGCTTCCTCCCGTACCTGAATGATCTCTCCGGACATGAGGCAGAGCTTCTTGTTGTCGTCGAGCACGGTGTTCATGTTCTCGATCCAAACGGCATCCACGGGTCCGTCGAACAGGATCCACTTTCGGTCGGAGCTCACCGACTGGGCAAATTCGCGGAAACTGTTGGCCAGCACGCCTGTGATGGAGAGGAAAAGACTGGGTGGTCAGTAGGAGGGAGAAAAAGCTGCTAAAGGGAGAACAGTAGGCTTGGATGTTAGTATCACAGGCGCGTTGCTAAGAAAACAGACGATAAAGGCCGCCCCACACCAGGAACTCGCATGCGGGTTGCGAGTTTTTGGGTTTTCGGGTTTCTTCTAAATCAAATGATACAATCTAAGCTAAGTGACCCACACGACCCTCTAACAAGCGAGTCTGCATGTTTTTAGCTTGCGAGCGACCTTGCATCGCATTCCAAAAGTTGATTTTGAGTCAACTTTCGATTCTCCTCGCTGCGAGGTCTGCGAGTTCTGCGAGGTTTGCGGGTTTTTCGTTGGAGTCGAATTTTGGTTTGTTGCGCTGGTATTGCGACTATATGTAATTTTCTGAAGGTGCGGCTGCATTGCATTCATAAAGTTACCATAAGGGAACGGTCTAATCACTCTATGAATTAGTATTATGCCCGCCAAACTCAAAACCCGCAAACTCGCAACCCGCATACGAGGCCCAGTGTGGGGCGGCCTTAAATGCGAACGAGAACTTCCCTTATAGTTGTTATTATAAACTTCCCTTATTTATAGAAATCGATTTGTATAAATATGGAACGATAAACCAAAACGACATTCAAACAACCATCAATTACTAGCAGTATGAAAACATTTGCCCCAAATCCACCGCTCCAGTCACCAAACCACCCATCCCCGGTCTTACCGTCGGACCACTCGTGTGACACGGGGTCGAAGCAGCCGTACAGCTGGCCCATGGTGATGGCCTTGGGGTTGATGATCTTGTACTGAACCGCGTTCTCCGGCATGGCTGCCGACGCCTCGGCCGACTCGTTGATCAAAGTGAGAGCGTCCGCCAGCACCTGAGGTGATAATGTGGCAAGGGGTAAGCAAGAAAAGGAATTAGTCAGAGGGAGGAAGGACTCGAAAAACATAACATAATTAGTGTAACATCGAATCCCACGATACACATCAAGGCAAGCTCTGGGTAGGCAGCGTGATCGTTATGCAACCGATGCCAGAAGTTACCGGACAAATAATTTATCGATTCGACTCGACTACTTCGTAAATTCATTGCTTCAAGTTCTTCAAGAAGTGTATGCACTATCTAATACTTACAAATGGACCGTCGGAGCCACGAATGCGTCACCAAAAACAACATAACATAACAAACAGTCAATACGACGCATGAAAGCTGCAGCAGGGCGGGTGGGGACACGTAGTAGCACACGGCTTACCTGGTAGGCGCAGGTTTTGCCTCCCATCGGCTCTCCGACAACCATCAGCCCGTGACGGACCAGAATCATCTCGTACACCTGGATTATCTTATCTGGAACACCGCACAAAGCAATACAGCAGTGGACAACGGTCAGCGGAAGAAATTGGTGAGGGTCGTGAATATCACAGGTAGTAAACAAAGTGGTGATATGTATGTCGTTTAGGTTGTGGAGCTTCTTCACGTATAACCTATATAACCAGTACCACGTACGATTATAAACTACATACACAATACATACGCAAACTACGTATGCAAACTACAGGCCTCGCGAAGAGGCCTCACTTCATGAAATCCTCCAAAGTCAAAGTCAAAGAAAGTCAATCATTCTTCACGTGCAAAAATTCAGATAAAGAATTAAGAGCGGGTTCCGAATTCTTACGATGGAACGATACGCACTCACCGATAAACCAGGGCACCGGCTGCAGGTTTCTCTTGGCGATGGCGCGGTGGAGCGCCTCCAGTAGCACCTGGTAGTCGGGTTTGGGCAGCACCACGCCAGGGAACAGGTCGCTGATGATGCCGGCGAACAGCGGCACGTCCTGCGGGGGATACAGCGTCAGTGTCCGTGTCAGGGTGCCAGACTGGGGAAGTCAAATGCGCAGGAGGACATTGGCTAAGCCAGATTGTAAGCCGAAGCAACTGAGCTACCAGAAGCGCATTGTCCAATAATGTTCACTGACGACCGCTGGCAGCTAGAAGACCAAAGCCTAGGCTTTCTTCTCTCAGCCATCATGAGAGCTCTCTGCTCAGCTGTATGCATTTATTTTTTTTTTTTTAAGATTTTTTTATATCCAATCTACTATAAGCATCTGCTGCACAATGCACATCCCACAATTAGTATAACCTCCCGTTCACCGCATAACTTTTGGCCTTATCGTCCCTTCTCACGAGCAGCTCACCTGCGACAGGAACTTGGGCAGGTTGACGTCCTGGATGGCCCTCAGCACCAGCACCGATTCGTCCACGTCGGGCAGCTTCAGCTTCAGGTTGCCGGCGGCGGTCAGTACCGCCTTCACCGCGCGCATGCCTGGAGCAGCGAGGGGAAGGAAGGGTGACATGATCGAATACCTTTGGAGAAGGAGATTCAATTTTCTGAGAAAGTGGGTTGATGGTCGTGTAAGACATGCGACTTTCTTGTCTGCTGAAGGTTCCATAGGCTGTTTTGTAATGCGCGTACGTAGACTCCGTTTGGGACGATGCCAATGCGGGTCTTTTAACTTTATTTGGGTGCAGCTTGAGATAAAAATACGCGCTTTGTTGAATCGACAAACATTCCAATGTTCGTAGTGTCATAATAAATATGTCATGTCTACAGCAGCTGGCCGAATACACGTAAAGCTCCGAACAAAACGCTTAGCTCCGATACAAAAGCAAGTCAGAGAATCCCTTTAATAAAATCCCACCGAAGATCCATTTAATAAAATCACGTCAGAATAGTGAGATATACAAAAAAAAGAGACACGCCGCTCAGCTAAGCCTCTCACATGGGAGGGAAAGACGGGAAAATATCAGAATGTCACGACCACTGACCGTAGTCGTAGTGATGCTGCGACGACAGCTGCTCGGAGCACAGACGGTACGTGTCCACAATCTTACCGGCCAGTCTGTGGCAGACGAACAGAGTCAGAACGGCTGCGGTTATACGCCACAAGACAGTCAGAAGTATAGACAAGGAATGTGAAAGAAGGAAAGGAGGCTAAGGCTAACAATGTTTGAAACTTCAATCAATACCTTCTTACACAACGAAAACTAATCGTAAGTGACGAAAGGAATTATTAGTTGAGGAGCCGAATATGTGCTCCATTTGTCAACTTGTTGCACGTCAAATACTCCATTAGATCAGAATTCCGGATATACTACTCGGACAACAAATTGTCTAACAAAAGCTACTCGCTGGATTAATAACTTTCCGTACCTTGAAGAACAACAAATTGACAAATGTATGATTCTACACCCCACACCCTTCCATGCTCCTTCGCCCTACACCCTCTGCGACTTGAGTTCTTCAGATCGGCCCATTTGCGAGATCTCACCCTCTGGCGGTCATGAAGCCGAACGAGTAGAGCGAGATCTCTCCGATCATGGCGTAGTCGGGTACCATCATGGCCACCGTGCGGAACAGCACCTTCAGGTTGTCGGGCAGCTCCTGACGGCCGGCGTAGCTGCAGGTGATATAGAACGGTCAGACCTGCGTCAAACTCTTAAACACCCCTTCCCCGTCCCATCAGCAGAGAGACACGTGACCTTATAAAATCAGAGCGATACTTAACTCTAGCACTGGATTACTGCGCACATGACTAGCGAAGGACAAGGTAGGTAGCTTAAGGAGGCGATTTCCAGAAAATCGGTCCTGGCCTTGATGATAATGTGCTAAATTCCTGATTGCCTAAATAGGAGGCAAAAATGTGATGTTAGATACGGGACTTAGAAAATCGAGGAAAGGCAACGGCTATTTGACACCTACGGCTATTTGTGATACAACAGCTCCCGGCACAAATAGCCTATGACACATGCTAAGCTTCCCTCCGCCCACCGACTGACCCGGGGTTCATGGTGATGAAGATGCAGCAGGTGGGGTCGAGCACCAGCTCGGTGCCCTCGAAGTTGAACGTCTTGACGTGTGCCACGATGGCCTGTTGGATGCAGTGGATCTGCTGGGCTACCACCGACAGCACCTCCAGCTCGATACGGTTGAACTCGTCGAAACAGGCCCACGCACCGGCCTGCGCCAGGCCCTGAGGACAGAGGGGAGAGGTGGGGAGGGGAGATAAAGAGAGGAAGGTGATACGGTAAATTATGCAAATTTAATGACCCTATCTCATCTCATTGAAGAAAAAACGATGCGTTTGTAATGCTACGACGTTGCATAGAATGTCGTGTAAAAGTTGACACATGATGCAGAACTCAGCTAAGCAATTAATCATTTATACCCGAGAAAATGATCTTTAGCGAGATAAGTAATTTTCCGTACCTTGAAGAACTTGCCCATGGCTCGGTAGTCGAGTCCGTCGGAGCAGTTGAAGACCACACACTGTTTCGCCATAGCCTTGGCCAGGTCCTTGGTGGTCTCCGTTTTACCTGTGCCGGCCGGCCCCTCCGGCGCGCCGCCCAGGTGCAGCTTCAGGGCGCCCATCAGGGTGCTGGGGGAAGGAAGGGGTGAAGGCGATGAGAGGGATGCGGGAGGTGGCTTAACAGAACTTCACAGCACAGCGTCCATTAGGATTCCAGAACGGAGGGAGCATCATTGTATTGCGGTACAGCATCGAATCAGGCGCTGACAACTAGCGACATCTATTGGCGGGAGTGTCAGTGTAGTGCGGTACAGCATACATTCAGGTGGACAGCTCGCGCCATCAGCTGTTGGCGGGAATATCGGTGTATTGCGGTGCAGCATATACGTCATATTCAGCGCTGAATATTACGGCCCTATATTGCTAAGAGTATGGAGCAGAAGTTGTCCAGATAACACCGGCAGTTCATGCTAAGTAAGTTATGAGCACTTACCGGTAACAATTGTCTGTATGTAAGTGTTGTGATGACCAGACGAGCTGCAGAGTTACCCAGGTAACACGGACATTATTTACTCGCTAATATCCCGGTACTTACCGGTAACACCTGTCTGTGAGCGGCGTGATGACCAGCCGGGCAGAGTTACCCAGGTACTCGAACCCGTACGGAAGGTCCGTCGTCATCATACGGACCTGTGAAACAAACGGGAAAATCTGTTTAAAAATACAATGAATTAAGCACATTTATAATTGATAAGTGGCGGGATAAGAAACTTCCGTAGCTTGAAAAACTTTTTCTACGCGCAACACGTACACGTATCCAGAAAACGTACCAGCAACATAAGAATTTCGATAACACAACAAAAACCAGCAGATAGAGTAGACTTTATGACGTATGGACCCAGCTGTTACACGCCAAACCCTTGGCATCCCACTGACATCTCTAATCAGCCGCGCCCTTCGCTAACCTGCACAGTGTCCTGTTCCCAGTAGTAGCGCAGCTGGGCGATCCAGTTGAAGTCCAGAGGCGACGTCACATTCTCTTCTGTGAGCTGTTTAACCACGTCCCGTGCTGCAAAGCGGACAACGGTCATCCGGGGGTAGGGGAAGGCGTCACAAACCAGAAGGGAAGGCGGAATGGGAATGATGAATGGGACCAGGCTATGGCAAGGGGTGCCGAGACAAGTAAGGGGTAGAGAGGGACAAGGAGAGGTGGGAAGTAGCGGGATGTCATTCAACCACTCTACGGATGATGGAGTGGGAGTCGCATTTCATTCCGTCGGAAATGAAGGAGTTGGAGCTAGAAGGGAACGCTAAAAGGAGCGGTTGTGGTAAAAGCAAGGACAAAAAATTAATAAGGGTAATGCAGGCCGGAACAGGATACTAGTCGAAAAAAACTTACACCATAAAAAGTCGGCGATTTCTTCTAGACTATTGTCAATCCTACTTATTGCACCATCCCATATTTCAACCACAGTGATAACAGTTAACACACAGCTTCTTTCCGAAACCATTGACCATCACTCAATGCTCCTGACTACCATGCATTCACCTCCACCGCCCATCACACCTTGTCAGTAGGGCGTCGACCCACTCCGACTACCCCCCCCCCCCCCCCACACACACACACCCCATCCCCACCCCTCCCGCTCCTACCGTGTACGTCGATGACAATGAGAGCTCCCAGCGAGATGCGGTGTCCCGGCTGTAGTTTTCCCCGCACCAGGGCCACGGTGCGGTCAATCTGGCCGTTACACTTGGACAAGTACTTCTGTGGCGGAGAACGGATATGTGCAACAGTGTTAGTAGTTAAAAGCGTCCTGTTCCTTATAACTAACAACTTAAAGATGCAGGTATAATTTTCATAGTTGAGTGCTTACTTAATATAGGTTTACTAATTTTAGGACAATGTCTATTATCAAGGCTCCAGTAGAGGCCAACAGTCAGTTACTTTGTGCTTGCAATGACATGAAAAAACATGTGATGCAGCAATCGGGATACGTTAGTCATTTCTGCCTTTCATCACCGGGCACACTTTGTTCAAATAGTGAGGTGCTTTGACTAAATAATTCACTGCCTTTCCAACCTTAAGTCCTCCGTCTGTCTCTATGGCCTGGGTGACCTCTGTGGTCCATGCTACTTTAACACTCATTCCTGTCAATAGTTCCCACCTTGAGTCCTCCGTCTGTCTCTATGGCCTGGGTGACCTCTGTAGTCCAGTGGATCTGGCTGCCACAGAGCACTATCTGTCCCGGCCACTCCAGTACCCATTTCTCACCTGCGGTCAGACAATGGAGGGTGCGGATCAGTCAGCTATAATACATACCTGCTGAATTTAGAGCCTCATGTAAAAAGTATTAGGATGTAAAATAAAAACATGGCATTCGAAGTTAAAGGTACCAAAGTTGATTTTGGATTAACATCTTTTATTTTGGCCCTAATTTGAAGCTTATACTTAAGCCTCAAGCCTGCTAATTAGTGGGTGGTAGGTTCGAGTAAGCTACATCTCAAAAACTGAATGACGAACACAGTCTTGCAGCTACTATCAGCGAATATACCAGTAACACCGAACGTAGTATCGACCACCATTCCCTTTCCTACTCCTCCGTAGCACCCCGATGACTTTAATACCACTCTATGTACGTAGTCACGACTCACGGGAGGTTTTCACGTAGGAGATGACGGCCCTCTCGGCGACGTCTCTCAGTGATGCCATCATCTGCGACTCTACCTGGGAGAGCCACTTTTCCACCATGCCCTGTCCCGGCGGCACAGAGCAGGAGTCAGATGAGACCCGACACGGGTGGAGGCGGGCGATTGGCTCGGCGTGGTACTTACTTGAACGGGCTCGGCTTAGTACAATACAATACGGAGTTCAAGGGGAGAGTGAACACTGTAAAAAAAGTTTAGCACCCATGTTAAAAACCAGCACCCTATACCTGCTTATTTTAAGCAGGCTAAATGGGTACTAAATTTTAGCACCCTTTTCGAAAAATAGCTCCCTGTGCCGGCTTATTTTAAGCACCCTAAATGGCTGCAACCATTTAGGGTGCTTAAAATAAGCCGGCACAGGGAGCTATTTTTCGAAAAGGGTGCTAAAATTTAGCACCCAGTTAGCCTGCTTAAAATAAGCAGGTATAAGGTGCTGGTTTTTGACATGGGTTTTTACAGTGGGGTTTTTACAGTGTAAGAACAATACCGTGCGTCAAAGTGGGAACTCGTCGTTTCAGGGTATCCTTATGGTAGACCGGTAGTTATTCAACTACGACATCTGTACACTGACTGCCGAGGCAGCCTGGCGCCGTGGCGGCGGTTACCGAAGTCAGAAGACCTATGCACAATACCATAGCAAACCGATGGTCAAAGCCACTGCAACGTCACGTACAGTTTTCAAGTCGTAAAACAATAATCGCTTAACGTAAAACTATATGTTACCTGCAACCTTTATTAGTTCTTACTTCTCGTCTGTGGCTGGTATATCATGCGTTTTTGTGTCAGCACTTTAGAGGCTTATTCATTTAATGTGGAGTTCAGAAACAATCGGCATATCAAGCGTTACATAGTGTTCATTTATTAAAGAGTGTTTTTAATTGTTGTCGGAAAGCATGAACACCGATGTAGGTATGACATCGATTTGCAAAGCACAGAAAGCGAAGGATGAAAAGCGAAAGAGCAATTGGAAGAAAGTTAGCGTCTGTTGAATCGCAGATATAGGCATAGTTTTGTGTATAGAAAAACAATCCATGGGTTTTGTGTTCCAGGACCTTTATACGTATGTCAGTTCAAACATGGTCATGTTATATGGCAATTGATCAGCGCAGGAGCATAAAGTCAATGTTTCCAATACAAGCATTTGTTCACCCCCATGTCCACACATCACTTTTCAGAATTAATGGCACGCGCACACACCATGCAGTTTTATTGCATCTGAGGAATTCGCTTAGATTGGATTGGTTAGATGTTACCTCTCTGGACATTTTCCCCGACTGAAAATTGCGGTTGGTCAGAGGCAGGTGAATATACATAGATGAATGTACGAGGTCAGACTCTCAACGTGTGGCTTAAAAAAGGTCCAAATTAACGACTTTCAATGCTTACTGCATAATTCACGCAACATACGTTACGAAGCAACAGCGAATTATCTAGCAGATTTAGCATAAGAAAATAAGTAAAGTTAAACGCAAGTTAAAAAGCTATATAGTGTCTTTATACCAAACCACAAATTTGCTACACATAAAGTTACACATCATACAGGCACGGAATATATAGTCTACGACATATATTCCGTGATACAGGTTTGCGAGAAAAAAAAAAACAGTTCAACATGATCGATCAAATCTCACACAGCCCGATAGGCATCTTTTTGAAAATATCGCTAATGAGATCCAAGGCCATTATAGTGAAGTTAGTGAGGACAAGCCAGATACCTTTACGGCACAAAAAGCGTAAGAAAAAGCGATTATTTACCATCAAAGCTTATCAAGTACGAAACAAAACCATCCACAATCAGCGCATTGCCGTCTTCCGAGCATTAGATACATAGAGTCCTTTCATCTATTTGATAAAGAACCACCTCAAAATGGCGAAAATAATTATTCGGCGAAACACACGGCCGAGCGGTCTGAGGTTGTATGTTCCACAAGTTGAATATTACAGGCCTATCCATTTATCCAGTTTTCACATCCTTACCTGCATCTGTTAGCATTAACGTGAGAGCGGGGGCAAAACAAAAGAGCGTCAGCAATCAGACACGAGACGGTCATAGAAGTTTTCGATGACCTAGCTCGATGACCTTCGATGACCTCACGATAAGTTATAGCTGTTTGATTTGGGTTCGGTCATCTCTTACAATAATGAAAGTATCGTTTTCCTTCTACACTCTACACTCATTTATCCGCCTTCTTTACTCGTCTATAGAGCATTCAAAAGTCAAACGCTTCGTTTTGTGGGAGGTGGGAAGGTCTAAATGACCATCTTCGGAGACTCACTCTAGGTTCATAGTAAAACAATGGACCGGTAGACTGCACAAAAGGTAACATTACGTTAGTCCAGCTGTTAGTGTTCGGTATTCCCTTGGTCAGTCCCTTTCTGACTCAGCCTGGCGTCTGACGGCAGTTTGCCGTTAACCCATCCGTGGTGTTTGCTTTATTCCCCTGTGACTCACCCTGGCGTCTGCCGGTTTGATGGGCGTGCTCAGCGGAACCTCCTCCTTCTCCGTGGAGATCATGGCCACAATCTGCATATCGTCCGTAAAGCGCAGACGGTGGATGCCTGCCGGACGTCGGGTCACACGGTGATAACTCCAGACGACTTTTTAGTGCCCTGCTCCAGACTAAGGTACGGCGTTAAAATAAACTATTTCATACACTTCAACGGTAAATGACTGCGAATTTATGGCAATACGATATACAAACGAACTTGCGGCAGCCATCATATTCTCACCTTCGAAGCACTTTTTGAGGTGGGGCTGGACGCGCAGCGGGTCCTTGGTCTCTGCCAGGATCTCCAGCAGTTCGTCGTTGGAGAGGAAGAAGAACCTGCCGTCGATTGTGGCATCATCACCAGCTTTGTCACTACAATTTACTCATGGCACACTGTCATGCTACTAAGTGTTCCTCGACTGCAGCTATAATTGGTTACGATATTGAAATGAGACAGGACAAAGTTTCCAGATAACGCCTCCCTCACGTCCACGATTCCACTGAATGGTCTCCAAATCCCACATCACCTCCCCTTCCCCGGCATCTCCGATACCTCCCCAGCACCACACCACAATTCCCCGTGCGTCACACGACACACAACTCCGACAGAGACACCCTTACCTGGGGAAGAACAGCCGCTTCTTCTCCAGGTAGTCGTTGAGGCCCTTCTGGATCTCCTCCAGCAGTCGGTTGGCGTCGTTCAGTCGCTCCAGCATCTGATCCTGAGCGGTAGCCACCAGTGCGTGCGTGTCCACCACCGCCTTACCCATGATGTCGCGCCAGATGCGGTCCACGCGCACAAACTTCTTACCCTCGGCTGGCATCTGGGAGAGAAAAGAGCGAGCGTGGTGAGTCGAACCAAACATTTCTCGGTCATCAGCATATCAATAATAGGCAATATAATATTGCACGATACTTTACAGATTATCGTCTGTTGATCGCATATTTATTCCCCAAACTTTCGCAAGGTTGAATGCTAGGTTCTTCTTTTTAAATTTCTTTGAACAGCTCGACAACAAATTATTTCCCTAAAGATACGACTTACACATTCATTACAGATTAGGTACGCACAGCGATGCGTTTAAATCAGACTAGCTGATACACTTACGGTAGCATGTGACTATCGCTGAGAGGAGCAAGCTCGTACCTGTTTGACGATGTCCTCAGAGCCAAAGATGGGCTCCAGGTATAGCCACGTGGCTTGCACCTTCAGCCAGGCGTCCAAAATGTCCTGCACCGCACGGGGCACACCGTTATCATTAACCCGCGCCCCGTTGGGCTCTGCCGAGCAACGCGCCCGGTTGGGGGGGGGCCATTTTGGCCCCCCCCCCCCCCCTAAGATCTCGAGAACCACGCAACATAGCGACAAGCGGTAAACGGCGTTGGATAGCCCCAACGGGGAACTACCTTGTGACCCAATTTTATTGACCTAGGTCAAACCGATGACGTCACAGGTCAGGTCAAAGGTCCAATTTTCACCGTTTACAGGCACTTCAAGAAATGCGTTGTAAAATCGAGTAAAATGCATTTCATTGAAAATCATCGATGGGGAAATGTTCTTCAAACACATATTTTGCTATTTGAGGTCACTGATACCAGGTCAGGTCACAGAGGTCAGGTCACGGGGGGTCACAATATTAAAGTGTCGTGAGATACATGTAATATGGTCCATTTTACATGACAAATGCGATTATATGGGTCAGGCAGCCTTTGGGGCCAGCTTAAATCACGTTTTGGTCAAGGTCAGGTCAAGGTCAGGTCAAGGTCAGGTCAAATTAGGTCAAATTTCAAAGTTAATATTTTTGCATAAAATGGGTATCGAATCGATGCAGCTCGTCACGGGGAGTTCAATGGTGGTCTTTGTTTTGCCGTACGTGGTCTAGCATTGCTAAAAATTGAGTTCAAAAATTTGACGTCATCATTTTTGAACAGTTTTTTCGCTATAACTTGGCCAAAAAAACGAGATATCGATCTGAAATTTGGTATGTATATAGAAGAGCGCTGGGACTATCACATATATTCCGGTTTTTTCGAAATTCGGAAAAATTTGGATTTTTTCAAAGTTTTTCAAAAAAATCAATTTTTTGAATTTTTTTTGGTCAAAAACCAAAAATTTTGAAAATCCGAGATAGCAGTTTTGTAGCGCCGCTTTTTGTCTACTAGACCATATAAAGAACTTTGAAATTGCTTGATAACTGTAGATTTGGTGAGCGTTTCAAGATTGCATGTTTTTTGCTCATTTTTGCTCGAACATGACCTCAGTTTGACCTCAATAACTCCTGACCTAAGGTGACCTAAGACTTGAAATTTGGTGTGAAGGTGTCAAATTGATGCCCGGGAAGGTACTGAAAATTTGGCGGCGCTGCGCGCCGCCGTTTTCTTGCTATTCAGGAAAAACCACAGGGGGGGGGGCCAAAATGGCCCCCCCCCAACGGGGCGAGGGTTAAGCACTATCGATAAATGACGTTCAGAACGTTCTCTCTCGCAAACTTTAAGATCATTCGGGTTCCCACGAACGCCAAGGTAACTGCGTATTCAGGCGAACATTAGGTGGGTACATCACACAATCGTTCTAAATCGAAAACAAAACTTACTCATACTGACCCACCGTCATCTGACGGGCTATGTGCTATATCCCGGGCTACTCAGCACTACTATTCATGAGTTCCCCACTCTCGCTTATAAGTATCTGAGGCCGCGCCTCGCTCTCTCAGACCTGCATCCGGACGAGTTTCTCCTCCCATGACCGCATTTCTGCCTCGAACGGTTTGACGTAGGGCGAGCCGCGCATCGTCTGTGCCTTGACGATGTGGTCGTCCAGCAGTGCCTGGATGTCGTCCACCGCAGACAGAATGCTGACGCCCGTGTCCCTGTGACGACGGGGGAGACGGTGTGGTAAGGGCTGGTGGTAAGGGAGCCCAGGAATGGTGGCGTTCTAGCGGTGAAAGCGACATCGGGAAGAAAAAAGTAGGCATGTGAGCTTCAAGTTTTGGACCTAACTAAAATTAAAAGAGATAACTAATGTTAGGTAAGAGGTGTCTTCCCTTTTTAAGCTCTGTACACGTAGTAAAAAAAAAATGTAAAAAAGCACTGGCTAAGAAAAAGTGCAATGCATATCCAATATCCATGCATCATTGCTGGATAAAAATGTTTACGCTATCAAGCGCCGCACTGTCCCATACCAAACTTCATCCCCGCTCTCACCTGTACGGTATAAACTCAAACATGACATCCTTCCAGTCGTCCGTCATCTTCTTCAGCGCCCGCTCGAGGCCGTACTCCTTGCTGGCAGAGACTCCGATCTCCTCCAGTACTTTGACGTGCTTCTGGACGCCGAGCTCGATCATTTGCGCCAGAGACGCCTCCTCCGGCGGGTGGATGGCGAAACCCAGCGCCTCAGACATCTGAAAGAAAGCGGAGGTTTGATACTGAGCTCGGTAACAAAGCCTGGAAGCAGCAGGCGTCTTTTGGAATGCTCCAAGAATCGGCATCGAGTATATCATCAGGCGGCGAGGCGTCAGCGAAAATGCTAAAAGAGCGTGCGTCAATAGAAGTACCAGGAGCATTGCAAAGTGCACTACACATGTTATCACTATAATGAATTAATGATCTCTATCTATATCTCCTTTACAACAAAATCCTTCGTTGAAAAAAACATGTTATTTATCAGACGGGTTAAATGCATGCTAGCAAGGCCGATCAAAGCTATAATCATCTCCTCCCCGCCTGTACCCGTCCTGGCTTAGCCTCGTGACCATTATTAATTTTTGTCATTTTCAAAACATCCCCTTCCTCAGAACTCTTTCTACCTCTCGTGTCCCTTCTAACCCTTCCTTTCACCCCTTCCTCTATATCTCACCCACCTGTTCCCAGTGCCGATCTCGTATACCCGGGTTGCAGATACAGTGCATGACCGGTATAAACTGTTTGAATCGCTCCACCTTGCCGCGCACAGTCTCGGCCACACGACGCGGGCCGGGGGTGTCGATAAACGCCTTGCCCAATTTGTACAGCGTGCGCCACATGGCTTCGACGTCCTCCTCCGCTGCCAGGGAGTCGATCCCGCGGAACGGACCTAAGGGGGGGGGGTCAGAAGATCAACGACTGTCGCATGGGGGAGGGGGCTATACGTCGAAAGGAGCGGTCACTAATGGATGTGAGGTTTGTCGGTGATAATCCTAGAACGTAATAAGCAAAGGCAAAAACGACATGTGTAAAAGGAAGGAAATCCAGCGGGTAAATTTTAAGTAAAAAGCACCACAACTCATTATGATAAAGCGGATTAAAGTAAGTACAGCCAGCGCTTATCATGCAACGACAAACGATCATCCGGCAAAAACAGCTGGCACTGCACACATCAAAGTCAGGACACCGGCTCATCCTCCTCCCACCACACATAACCCACATAACCCGATTTAGTGTGGCGCCAAAGTACTCACCATTATACCAGCGTTCATATTTGACGTGGAAGTCGTAAGCGGTCCTCCAGAGCTTGTCATACGGATCTTTGAACGAGATCATGTGCGCTACCAGCGGGAAAGGAGAGATCTCCCACTCCAGTAGTCGCTCCTCTTCGTTTATATCCTGTATAAAGCGTGGTCAGGTGAGTAAGCTCCGTACTTGGTAACGATAGACAGTGGCGCAGCCAGGATTTCGTTTCGGGGGGGTCATCGCCTCCAAAGCGGGCCCCCTAGTGTGCGGGCCCCCCACCCATTTTCAGAATCTTTCCATATTACATACGCATTCTGCTGAGCGGGCCCCCTTTACCTGTACGATAACCCTGAGCGAGTTTGAATCGGAAAATTTTGATAGAACAATAGCTCGGTAATCACCCAGTGTTCAATTTCTACGCGAATTGACCATGACAGAAATATGTTACTATGACGTATGAATTCGTATCTTTCGAGGGCGAAATGTGCCCCTTCCGCAATATGCATAGCATATATGCAAACGGAACTGTTGCCTGCTTCTGTCGGACAAGATTTAAAGTCCCATGTGCCTGTCCTAACTCCTAAGTCATCTATTGGCTGCTGTAGTAGATTGTGATTTATTCTTCTTCATTACGTGAATTCGCTCACAAGAAGTTTTAACCCTCGCCGGCACAGGGGAGGGGATGATGCAACCCCCTAAGGGTTTTCGCAAATAACTCGCGTAAAAAGCAGCCGATCACGACCAAACTTTCAGTACCCTCGCGTTGATCAGTTCTACCCTACCCTAGAAATTTCATGACCCTGACCCAAATGACCTTTGACCTGTGACCTACTTTCCGAGACCATGTATGGCCAGAATCGCGATTCGGCGTATGCCGGCTCGCATTAGCCGCGCGTTTGCAGTCTTTCGTGGTTTCAAGCATTCAAACAACATGTGAGTTGATGCTGCTCCCATGCATTAGGGTGGATGTCAAGGTCACCTGAAGGTCAGGTCAGGTCATTCATTACCTATGATGACCTCGATACTTTTTTCGAATTATACATGTTTCCAGGCTAGTTTTTGGAGCTGAATCCGAATTTAACAACCATTTGAACATTTACGAAGTAGTTTTGGTGCCTTCGTAACATGTTACGAAGCTGCCAGAGGCGGCTGACACGTAGGTACTACGAATACCCGGCAGGACTCCTATTGGTTGACCTGACCTGACCTGACCCGACCTGGCCTAAATGCATACTCTTGCCTTGGGCCGGGTTTGTTGTGGCGTGGTGATGTGGTGACGTAGATTCTGTCTGCTATCGTGGTCCCGGCATGGTGTTACTTAGCGTGGGGTACGGGCCCGACCGTTGCGCCAAGTGCGCTGAAATTTGCGCAACTTATAGATCAAGGATGGGCAACGTGCCTTTGAGGGTCTCAGCTCGATCGGATCGATAGCGAGCACATTGCGCGTGATCAAAAAGTGCAAATTCGCGTCATGGACTTTACATGTATTAATCGGCTTGCAAAATCGGGCGAAAATGGCTAAATATGCCAGACACTGGTCCGGTACCCATGCAGTATCTCGGTAACCGTGGGCCCAATCGGCACGGGGGACACAGTATCGTGTAGAGAATCGAAAGGGCTATCGAATGGTGTGCGGTGCAGGGATGGCACGCGCCACGTGCACCCGTGAGGGCACTTATGCTGGAAAATTTACGTTTCGGACAGATTTGGGACTTAATGCTATTTTCGGGTGACTGTTTGACGGAGCGGGTTCAAACAACGCCTGTTGGCAAAAGAAAGGTACCGCCTCCCATGGAAAAATTGTGAAAAGCTAATTGATCAAAAACAAGGTGCAGAACAAATCGCTGGAGAGAATGGTATTTGTTAATGACTTACTTAATTACATGGGTTTTAAGGTGAGATGTGAGATGATGTTTTTCGTACTCCAGCGTAGATGGGTAGCCATACGGCCGCCACGGTTGACAGTGATGACATCAGTCATCTTTTCATAAAAAACAACACCTAAGAATTATATGGGTTTTTCTGCATAACCTGGTACGTTTGACAGTTAAAAATGGCATAGTTGGAAAGAACATTTAATTTTGTCCAAAATCCAATCATCGCTTTTGCATGACGAGCAACAGTATTCTTAAAAATATAAATGTTGCAAACCTCTACAAAGTATTTCATCGATCGCTATCATTTTTCAATAACCTACGTCAACCTTTGTTATAAACTACACATGTCATGTTCTATAGTAGAACGCATGCTTATTGCTTATCAGACACGAGCACCTCGATGCAATGGATATTTTTTCCCAAACCAAAATGCTAAGCCGTCAAAAAGCAATCAACTGAAATGGATACATAACCCACGGACACAATGTTGAAGTTTTATTTGAGGCAATTGTTAATAAAGCGTACGAAAGGCCATATTTACTTTAATGCGAAATATTACATTAAACTAAATGAAATTAAAGATAAGCTACCCGACGTTTCGCTTAGGTATATTTGCTTAGTCATGGGCGATCTTAGTCATGGGATCTTAGTCATGGGCTTAGTCATGGGCGATCTAGATCGCCCATGACTAAGCAAATATAAGCGAAACGTCGGGTAGCTTATCTTTAATTTCATTTAGTTTAATGTAATATTTCGCATTAAAGTAAATATGGCCTTTCGTACGCTTTATTAACAACCACGGACACAAGACCAGCCCAACGCCCACCGATCGAAAATACCCCTTATTCGCTTTGGGGAGCAAGCGAGTCACCCCAGCGGGCCCCATTCAACCAGGGGCCCGGGCCCTATCCACACGGGGGCCCGAGCCACGTCCACCTGGGGCTCCGGGCCCCGTCCACCAGGGGGCCCGGACCCCGTCCACTAGGGGGTCCGGGCCCCATTCATCCGGGGGCCGGGCCCCATTCACCCGGGGTCCGGCGTCCACCTGGGGCCCGGGGCCCGTTCTCCCGGGGGCCCGGGCCACATCCACCCGGGGGCCCGGACCCATCCACGGGGGGCCCGGGCCCTACCCACCAAGGAGGCCCGGGCCCGTTCTCCCAGGGGCCCGGGCCCGTTCTCCCAGGGGCCCGGGCCCGTTCTCCCGGGGGCCCGGGCCCCGTCCACCTGGGGCCCAGGCCGACCCCACACCCGTGGTGTCCCAGTAGGAATTTCTCGAAGCGGGCTCGTCCGATTAGATTAGGGTCTCTCTCCTCCCTCTCTCTCTCTCTCTCTCTCTCTCTCTCTCTCTCTCTCTCTCTCTCTCTCTCTCTCTCTCTCTCTCTCTCTCCTCTCTCTCTCTCTCTCTCTCTCTCTCTCTCTCTCTCTCTCTCTCTCTCTCTCTCTCTCTCTCTCTCTCTCTCTCTCTCTCTCTCTCTCTCTCTCTCTCTCTCTCTCTCTCTCTCTCTCCTCTCTCTCTCTCTCTCTCTCTCTCTCTCTCTCTCTCTCTCCTCTCTCTCCTCTCTCTCTCTCTCTCTCTCTCTCTCTCTCTCTCCTCTCTCTCTCTCTCTCTCTCTCTCTCTCCTCTCTCTCTCTCTCTCTCTCTCTCTCTCTCTCTCTCTCTCTCTCTCTCTCTCTCTCTCTCTCTCTCTCTCTCTCTCTCTCTCTCTCTCTCTCTCTCTCTCTCTCTCTCTCTCTCTCTCTCTCTCTCTCTCTCTCTCTCTCTCTCTCTCTCTCTCTCTCTCTCTCTCTCTCTCTCTCTCTCTCTCTCTCTCTCTCTCTCTCTCTCTCTCTCCTCTCTCTCTCTCTCTCTCTCTCTCTCTCTCTCTCTCTCTCTCTCTCTCTCTCTCTCTCTCTCTCTCTCTCTCTCTCTCTCTCTCTCTCTCTCTCTCTCTCTCTCTCTCTCTCTCTCTCTCTCTCTCTCTCTCTCTCTCTCTCTCTCTCTCTCTCTCTCTCTCTCTCTCTCTCTCTCTCTCTCTCTCTCTCTCTCTCTCTCTCTCTCTCTCTCTCTCTCTCTCTCTCTCTCTCTCTCTCTCTCTCTCTCTCTCTCTCTCTCTCTCTCTCTCTCTCTCTCTCTCTCTCTCTCTCTCTCTCTCTCTCTCTCTCTCTCTCTCTCTCTCTCTCTCTCTCTCTCTCTCTCTCTCTCTCTCTCTCTCTCTCTCTCTCTCTCTCTCTCTCCTTCTCTCGAGCGGGCCCCTGACAGAAATTTCGGGGGGGTCAGCTGACCCTCTGACCCCCCCCTGGCTGCGCCACTGACGATAGACAAGGGAGAGGAGAGGGAGAGAAAGAGAATAAACGAGAGGAGAGAGTGAGAGGAGAGAGAGAGAGAGAGGAGAAAGAACAAACCACCGCTGTTCTGCTCCCGTGAAGAGGACACGTTACCGCAGCTACTACTACTACTACTACTACTACGTTACGTTACACGTTATATAGCTGCTGCAGCATACGCCACTGCTAACCGACTGGAATGTTCAATGTTCATCGTTATCGAACTTAACTTAGTTATTCAGATGACGTTAACAATCAACGCTCCGATGCACCGCCTGCACATTTAGACCCGAATTTCCCGGTTCCACTTACGAACAGCTCCTGTTTGGCAGCGGCCAGCTCGTCCCCCAGCCATGTGAGTGTCTCCACATTGGTACGCATCTCGTCCATGTTGAGCACCGGAGAGTCCTTCTTCCGGAACGCCTCCAGCGCCTTGTTATACTCGTCCAGTCTGGTGGTAGACGAGAAAGGGTCGTGGGAAAATCATCAGAGTGCAAAATATGTAGAAGGAACAAAGCATTTTCGCGGGCGTTATATTAGACTGAGCGAAGCATTTCAGCGCGTTTCGTACAACATTACGTGACCGAGACCCGAAAAGCACGATCATGCTTCAATCGAATTGGCCATATGATGGCCTAGTCAGAATTAACCACGACCTTCATTTATCAGTCGTAAAAAACGATAAAAAATCCTCACGACTCAGACGGCCGCTAGAATAATTTTTTTTTTTTCGTCAAGACTGGAATATCAATCATGATTTCCTTGGCATATCTGCATGCAGAGCAGCTCTGGATGTAACTCTCGGTTCCTCGTAAAACGCTGAGGCACGGTCTAAGCTCCCCCGCAACCTGCCCTTTTACCAACCCTAACCTTCCCTCTCCCCTTTTGCTGACCTTTCAGTGAATGCCTCGACCCGTGTGCCGAGTGCCTCCTCGGCTGCCGCCCGCCGGTGCCGGAGCCGGGAGTGGGACAGGTCGAACACACCCTCAATGTTCTCCGGCCAGTGGAACACGCGCGCGTTCAGAGTCAGGTCATCCGCTGAAAACGGTGAGACAAAGAGACCAGATTACAGATACTTGTAGAGAAGACGATGTCGATTGTCGGCTGAAGTGCGAAAAGCATGAACGTTCAATAAACAATGCTTAACTTTTACCGACAGACCGACGGAGAAAGAGAAGCAACGAGAAGTAATTGATATAGCACGCATTAATCAATGACTTCCTCATCATTATTCTTACCCTCCACTATCCTAGTATATGGTACATATATATTCAGACCAGCGCGCTCTCGACGTCTTCCCTTTCACTCAAATCATCTAGAACTACAGCTACAGTCGTCCCCATCCCCATCCTTCCTACCTGGCAGCACAGCGTAATCCATGAGGAACAGAATGCGCAGCGCCGTCTGTCGAATCCTCATCCTGATCTCGGCCATTGTGTCGGACATGCAGACCTGCAGGTAGCTGTGCTGGTCGACCAGCTCGGCAGTGCTCTCGGGCATCTGACTCAGACGGTCCGACATGGTATCGAACACGCCGCAGATGCTGACGGAGACGGGGGAGGGTGGGGGTCTGTGTTCCGCAAGTTTGGTAGAGAGTGGGTGGGGGGGGGGGGGTGGAACTTCCGTACCGTATAGACGGACAGAAGCGACATTATTGACGGTACGTGTATGTATATTTCGTTACGGGTGAAAACAACGTCTTTGCAGCCCCATAAAGTCAGAAATAAAAAAGACATGACGGGGTTCAAAGCCTCGATGTAGGAAACACGCTTATGTGTGCTTACATCTTCAAAAGCAGCTGCCAGTGCAGTGTCCGAACTTACTCTGTATTTTCCTCCCTGTTGATGGTCGCCTGCCGCTGTACCACACGATCGCTGAGTTCGGCCGACTTCTGAACGATGGTGGTGTTCACCCGGTCACAGCTCATCAGAAACAGCTGGGAAGTGCGCGGGAAACGACCGTGGCATTGTCAGAAATGTCACGGTTACGTTGTTAGAAGTGCCGTCCTGTCAACAATGTACCTATCACGCTATCGACCAAGTCAATGTTTGGAATGATATTAGCGGCCGTTTTCACGACGGCCATCTGATACACATTTGGTGCACATCTGGTGCAGATCAGGTGCAGATTTGGTCAAAAAATCAGGTTCAGTGGTCTCTTAGTAGCTATCAGCTAGAATTGCACTAACTGCTTATATGCCTGCTTTGTCATATCATCAGAGAGTATCATCGATTAAAACACTGAAATAAATTCATAAAATTGAAGATATTTGCTGTAAGAGAGATTAGGTGCAGATTTGGTCAAATCAGGTGCACTCGCCGGAAAGCCCGTCGTGAAAACGGCTATTGTGCAAACAGACTCACCGCTGAAAAGGTATATCTCCCGTGACAGGACTACTGCAAAGATATTAATCGGACTACAAAGGTTATCAACCGGACTAAAGATATCACCCGTGACAACTCTCGTAATTGAACCATAAGTGCCATCCGATCCCACAGACCTGCAGCGGTATGATAGTGGGCAGCAGCTGAACCTCCCGGTGTCGGATCGCCAAAGAGTCCAGCTTCCTCCTGAATACCTGTGCAGACGCAGGGCGGCTCAGGTCGGTGAAACGAAACAGGGGACGGACGCCACTCAAAGCGATCATAGTGTGAGACGAAAAAGAGCAGGCGGCCACTAACGCATGGTTACATACGCTAAATAATGCTTGAAAGTGCTGCGTTTCAAGCACTGTAGAAAGGTCAACGATAAATATGCCTCCAGGACTGCAGTTACCAACTAAAAGCAGCGTTATTCACAACTCATCCGCGTTTAGCGCCATTTAAACCTACTGACTATCGATTCGACCGCTACTTTTTCTTCCAGTACCGGTCAGTGGCTCAGACTCTGACCACTATGTCCTCCTCTTTGTTGATGAACTCGGTCGTCACCGTGTAAAATCACTCAGTACCGACCCGGTCTCCTAGTACTGGTTAGTGTCCCCCACTCACCACTAGGTCTTCCTCTTTGTTGATGAACTCAGTCACCTCTGCTGCCGCCGTACCGTCCAGAAGATCAGCGTACCTGCCATAAACCGGACGAGGTGTCAGTCCAGGTTGGCGTGTAGGCGTGGCACATGCCAAAGGTTACCGCCAGTTATGAAGGTTGGTGTAAGTCTGTTGCTAGACGAGAAGTTACTATGAGTTACTAACACCAGAACGACTCTAAGGCAGGAGTTTATAACGAGTCACGGATGATCTGCAACTTATCTATCACATACGAAGGAGGTCACTTTTCGACCACGTGTTAGGATGTGTCAGTGCACTGTCTGCCCGGTGCCACCTCTCGGCGCGCTGCTGGGCGCGCCACTGCGGACCGCCTCCCGCTGGGCGCGCCGCTGCCACCGGCGGCGCGGGGTCACGGCCGCAGCCGGGGGCGGCGGTCATTCTGGACCTGGGAGCCGCCGCGCGCGGGCGCTGCCGCTGGTGCTGCTGCTGCTGGTGCAATGCCTGTATTGAGCACCAATACACGACTGATGGATACGCTGCCTGTGGCCTAACATTGGCGCGGTCAAGGTAAGCTCATTTACGCTCCCTACATTTAAGTGATGTTCGGTTAAACGGTAACCGTTTTAGCAGCTCCTATGTTATCGATTCACGATACATGAGCCTTAAACCTACGACCTGAAATTTGGGAAAGTTGCAGTCGTTTTTGACACGGCTTTTGCTGATTTCCGGTCGATTATAGTTGGTGTATATCAAATCACGCTGAGGCACTGGCAGCGTTTGCAACTCATTCGGCACAGATAGCGTGGTCGTTTACGACACGTTTTTTCAAATTATCTGGTTTTGTTATTGCATAACGTATCGTTGGTCGATACGATGATAGGGCATATATAGCGTAGTCGTTTTACGACACGATTTTCAAATTACCGGTTTGATCATTGCATACCGTATCGTTGGACGATACGATCATATTTATTAGTCGTCGTTCATACACTGCCCAAAATGTCGAATGAACTGTACTCAAAAATTCACAGCACAACAAAATTTAGCGGTCGCGAGGAGGAAAATTGGGAAACGTGGATTTTCCGTTTTGAGACGCGTTTTGGTGACTTGGAGAAGACAAAACTAGCAACTGCCCTGCTCGACTTGCTGGATGGTGCTGCTTTGGACGTTTGTGGGAACTTGGACAAGGGAGCCAGGAGCGACTACAAGGAACTTAAGGGGGCCCTACAAAATAAATTTGGATCTAGCTGCGACACGCGACGGGCTCGGGCAAAGTTGCGTTTTATCCGTCAACTGCCTGAAGAGAATATAGAATCATTCGCTGATCGCGTCCGAAAACTCACAAGCCTGGCACACCCGGGGTTATCCAGTGAACAGGTGGATCATATAGCGTTAGATCACTTCCTGTGTGGTCTGAGCGATCTTAAGCTTCAAGAGAAGCTGCACAATGACCACACTGTGCTGTCGCTTCAAAAAGCGGAGGAAGTCGTCCAAAGACTTTGGGAAAAGGACCTCACTCTCGCCGTTATGCGGGCGTCCGTTGGTCATGACACGACGGTGGCAATTTCGGCTAAAGAAACGCAACCCATTGAGGGTGGACAGGCACCAGATATTCTGACCATCCTTGGAGAACTCCGGAGTGAGTTGAATGAAATGAAAGTCCAGGTGACCGAGCACTGCAAACCAACCGACAGTAAACGAGGCGTTTGTTACCTGTGTGGCGATACCGCCCATTTCAAACGCGATTGTCCGCGGTTTTCAAACCGACAGAAACGGACAACACGGTCCGTTGCCCCGAGGGCAGCACCGAGCGCGATTCCGCCCGGTATTCCCTGCCAGGGTTGCGGAAGGCACGGCCACGCGCTTCACGAATGCTGGAGAACGCCAGTCGCAGCAGGGGGCATCGCTCCCTCGAGCCCCGCACGCGATAATTCTGGCGCTGTTGGGAACACTGCAGTAGTACCTGGTCAGGAAGAAAGCCCCAAACGCGCTTCAGTGATCAAAATCGAAGTCGAAGGACGCAGTGTATGGGCCCTCGTAGATTCCGGAGCCGATGCGTCAATGATCGGACAAGAATTCGCTCAAGCAGCTGTACCGAAAGAAGTGTCACACAAAGGATATTTTGGAACAATAACGCAGGCGGGTGGACAGAAAATACAGGTCAACACACAAGCAGAAGTGTCCTTTTCAATACAGACTCTGCAGTTCATCCAGCCCATGTTGGTCATTCCAGGCTTGATTTATCAGGTCGTTCTCGGCCGAGACTTCTGCTGCCAACACAAAACAGTGCTGGATGACAAGGCAGGGGTCTTCAGGGTGAGCAGCCTTGAGATTCCCCTCCCAACATACGCTGAGCTGCGACCCCAGCGTGCCAGGGTGCTAACATGCTCGCCCGTTACAATACCGGCAAAGTCTCAGACGCTCGTTCAGGTCGACGTCGAGATTCCTGACGGTGGTGTCAAAGTCACCAGGGAAGTCAGTTGGCAAGGCGTGCTCGAGCCACAGCCCGTGGGGAACGAGCAGGAATGGAGAATCCCCCGCGTGGTTACTGCGGTGACGAGCGAAGCCAAGGTCCCGGTTCAAATCGCAAACATCGGTAGCCAGGCAGTCACGATCCCTCCAGGTACAGAGATAGGACTTCTGTACTCAATCCAAGAGAATGGGAGAGGTATGTACGACGTTCCCGACACATCGGCTGCTTCAGCCGCAGTCGACGAGGGGACGATCGATGAACTCGTGAAGGAGCTCAAGCTAGAGTCGGCAGTCCTCTCAAAAACGGGAAAGACCTCATTAAGACAGCTAGTGATGGAATTCAGTGATGTTTTTAGCAAAGGCGAGGCAGACATCGGAAAAACGACTCTCATTCAACACCAGATCGAAACTGGCGGCGCACCGCCAGTACGTCAACGGCCACGACGAATCCCAGTAAAGCTGAGAGACGAGGTGGAAAGACAAAAAGAAAAGATGCTGAAAGAAGGGATCATTGAGGAGAGTTCCAGCCCTTGGTGCTCACCAATTGTCCTTGCAAAAAAGAAAGACGGCAGTTTCAGATTCTGCGTCGATCTCCGAGCAGTAAACGCCGTCACACAGAGCTTGCCAGTCCCTCTGCCGAGGGTGGACGAGAGCCTCGACAGCCTCGCCGGAGCAAAGTTTTTCTCAACCCTCGACATGGCGTCAGGTTACTGGCAGGTTGACGTCGCTGAGAAGGACAGGGAGAAGACTGCCTTCAGCACAGGAAAAGGTCTCCACCACTTCCGAGCGATGCCGTTCGGTCTGAAGAACGCAGGAGCCACGTTCCAGCGGCTGATGGAGCTGGTGCTGGCTGGAATGGACTCCAAGAGCTGCCTCGTCTATATCGACGACATAATTGTGTTTGGCGGGACCGAACGAGAACACCTGAAAAACCTGGAGGAAGTATTTCACAGGATCAGAACAGCGGGAATGAAGCTGAAACCAAAGAAGTGCTGCTTGGCCCGAGACGAAGTGGTGTTCCTCGGACACAAGGTGGGGAGGAGAGGCGTGGAACCCGACCCAGCCAACGTGGAAAAAGTGCGTAATTGGACAAGACCGCGGACAGCCGACGAGCTGAAGAGCTTTCTGGGACTCGCCGGCTACTACTCCAGGTTCGTTTTAAACTACTCCGACCTGGTTCGGCCAATCCGAGAAGCCGCAGAAAAGAAGGGAGAACTGGAATGGACAGACGAGCTGATCAAAAGTTTCGAAAACGTCAAGACCAAGCTGACATCCCCTCCGATCCTGGCTCTACCGACATGCAAAGGGGAGTTTAGGCTTGCAACCGACGCCTCGAACACTGCGGTGGGAGCGGTGCTCTCAGAGACGCTCGATGGCGAGGAGAGGGTAATTGCATACGCCAGCAAAGTCCTCAGCAAAGCTGAACGACGGTGGCCCGCATACGACAAAGAGCTGTGGGCCATCGTGTGGGCTGTCAGACATTTCCGGCAATACCTCGCGGCCACCAAGTTCACAGTCCTGACAGACCACAAACCACTCAAAAACGTCCCAAAATCTATCAACGTCGACGGCGATGCCACCGGTCGGAGAGGTCGGTGGGCCATTGAGCTCAGTACTTACGATTTTGTCGTTGAGTACCGCAAGGGCAGCGACAATGGTAATGCTGACGCTCTGTCGAGGCCCGTCCTTGACGTCACTGACTCCACAGCTGAGACGGAGACCAAAGAGCTGCTGGCCGCCAACCACAAGGGCGGTCGAGAAGACATCCCCCTCGAAAAGCTACAATTGGAGCAGGAGCTCGACCCCTTACTGGGTGAGGTCAGAAACTGGCTGGAAGCAAAGAAGCTCCCTCCTAAAAAAGAACTGCAGAAGAAGAACAGCTCACTACGTAGCATGGCTCGATTTTTCGACCAGCTCACGATGGAAAACGGGATTTTGAAGCTAAGGCGACATAGCAACAGCTCAGTCATTGTCCTTCCAAAAATCTATCATGAGACAGTCCTGAACATGCTACACGACGATGAGGCTGCTGGTCATCTGGGAACCGACAGAACTCTCGAGAGAGCAGCAACCAGGTTTTTCTGGCTGGGGATGAGCGGGGACATCGCCCGCTACTGCGAAACTTGCGAGACCTGTCAACGACGCAGTCGCCCAGCACCGCAGATGCAAGCAACTCTCCGAACCGAATCCTATTCGAGGCCATTTGAAAGAGTGGCTATCGATATCACCGAGATGCCGATGTCGGCTCGCGGTAATAGGTACGCTTTAGTAGCAATGGACTACTTTACCAAATACGTCTTTGCCTACCCCATGCAGAACCAGACAGCTGAAACTGTATCTGACTGTCTTCTGGACATGGTATTGCGGCAAGGGGTGCCAGAACGCCTTCACAGCGATCAAGGTCGCCAGTTTGAGTCTGCGGTCTTCCAGTCCCTGTGCAAACGACTAGGAATCGAAAAAAACTCGGACATCACCCTATCGGCCTGAGAGCGATGGCATGGTGGAGCGCTTTAACCGCACGCTCAAGGACATGTGCTCGAAATTTATCAAACCTTGCGGATCTGATTGGGACGAACATTTGGCTTTCCTCACCTTCGCATACAACACGTCCAAACACTCGGTGACCGGATTTACCCCATTTTTTCTGGCGCATGGGTATGAGGCACGCCTGCCAGTCGATGAGCTTTTCAACCAGAGGCGCGAGGTGTCGATGGTCGACACGCATGTCGAAAACAGGCTGCGCCAACTCAGAGACGCATACACCAAGGTTCACGAAAACATCAACAAAGCCTCCAACGACATGACAAAAACACAAAACGAGTCGGCGCGAGAGGTTGAATATGTGCCAGGTCAAAAAGTGTGGGTGAGGGACCATACGGCTCACGTCGGAGGTAAACGTAAGCTGGCCCTTCATTACAAAGGCCCTGCGACCATTTTAAGAAGGCACGGTCCGGAAGGAGACGGAGTCACCTACAAGGTCAGCATGCCCGGTGGTAAGGAGACCAACGTTCATCACAATCATCTGAAACCTATGAAACTTCGGAGGAAAGACTATCCAGCCGAACGGCCAGCTGCACCCGAGCAACACGGACAGCGGACCACTGACGAGACTACGCCTGACGAACACAAACAAGGGACCGACGAGCGCGTATCTCAGGACTCTAACATCATTACGAAGAGTAGTCCATTCATACACTTTTTGCAGGTGCCCAGTGACACGGCTGTGGGACAAACGCCACAACCGACGAGCACATACGTCACACGATACGGGAGAGTATCCCGGCCTCCGGTAAGATACCCCGATCTGTAAATAGGTACGCTTGTTGAAACGACTGCATTAAAAACCGTTGTCAAACTCTCTGCATCCCTGTGTACTCCGGCACGGTACCTACTTTTTATAAGCATACACACGTCAGACTTGTTCGATTGTGTGTGACCAAAGTGTACGACATGTTCTGAGCCAATGTATCATCGGCAGGCCTGAACCTCGAGGGGGTGAAGCGCGAGGTGGCGTCCCACCGCTGAGACGCAGGTGCGGCGCTCGATTTTCGACGCCATCACCAGCGCAGACGTCAGCAGCGCCAGATGTCGCCAGCGCAGCCGTCACCAGGCGGACGTCACCGGAGCGGACGTCACCGACTGCAGCGCCGCAGACCGAGCAGCTGATGCCACTGCTGCAGCTGATCGCGGCCGATCGCGGTCGAAGCAGCAGTTTCGTCGCGTTTTGTTTTGTTTTATAGTGCAAAGAATAAGAGACTTTTTATTTAGGGGGGAGGTGTGTTAGGATGTGTCAGTGCACTGTCTGCCCGGTGCCACCTCTCGGCGCGCTGCTGGGCGCGCCACTGCGGACCGCCTCCCGCTGGGCGCGCCGCTGCCACCGGCGGCGCGGGGTCACGGCCGCAGCCGGGGGCGGCGGTCATTCTGGACCTGGGAGCCGCCGCGCGCGGGCGCTGCCGCTGGTGCTGCTGCTGCTGGTGCAATGCCTGTATTGAGCACCAATATACGACTGATGGATACGCTGCCTGTGGCCTAACACACGCATCAGCTGATCAAATAAGCACTCCTGTCGTAACTTTTTCACCTCCCCTCCCCCCCCCCCCCCACACCTGACTAGTCTCACTTGTCGTAGAAGAGGCTGTACTGATGTGGACCGGGCACATTGGCCTGGAACACGGCGTCCACCTTTGCCAGGAGACGTACCACCACGTCCTCGTCATGGCGAACGGTGCGAACCACCAGGCCGGCGTTCTTCATCTCTGGAGAGAGGGAGGGAGAGGGATAGAGAGAGAGAGGGGGGAGAGAGAGGGGAGAGAGAGAGAGAGAGAGAGAGAGAGAGAGAGAGAGAGAGAGAGAGAGAGAGAGAGAGAGAGAGAGAGAGAGAGAGAGTCATCGAGGACCCAACAGACATCTTTCAGCAAACAAACACTTACAATACTAAAACTAGTATCACATATGTACAGGGTGTCTCAAAAGTTCGTTCACACATTTCCCATGCCAATAAAGCATATAAGAACCGGCCAAAAGTATAAGGTTTTGGTGTCTGTGTGTACACTAGACAAATATGCATGCTTTGACAACTGATTAAGAAGGTTGGAAACCAACCCCTTTGTTGTATCTCCAAAAATATTTGCCCATACCGATTTTTGTTGCTCCGTCAGCTACCGGAGGCTGATAAAAGGTTACCAGCTTTCAAGCTCTTGCAGGGGAATCCCCTGCAGTTTCTGCGTCGGATTTAGTTTTGACTAGCTCCCCGGCAACATCTGATTTTCCCTGAAAGCCGACAGCTTGCATCGACACCATTCTTGAGTATTTTGTAGGCATTCTCTGGCGCTAACTCCTTCATGAAAGACTGGCGCCGACATCCCAAGCGCCATTTTCCTTTTCAAAACGACCCCAGTCCTGAACAAACGGGAAGTGCCAGGAGTACATTTTTCGCATCATATGGTAGAAGAATGTGTCGGACATCTGTTTCTCAGACACATTGTGCAAATTTTGCAAATTCCAAGCGCTCGTCATCCCCCATGCCAAGACCTTCGCTCGGTTGCGGAGTGTTTTCCTCGGGAGATGTTCTGCTTTGTAAACGGCCCAGACCTGTCCATCGTGTGGTTTTATCGGGATTTTGTGTTTAAAAGAAAATTATTCGCTGCAGATATGCCTCTTGAAACTTCGTTAGATAAAATTTTACAATAACTGACACTTTTGGAGGGTCAGGTGTCCTTGGCATTGACGATTTTTGTGTTATTGTCCCCAAAAATTAGCGTTATAGATATTATAAACAATTTTAAATTTTAATTTGCCTTTATTTTACGATGACCTGCACTTTTTGAAAATGGGTAACCTCTGTCTGTGACCTTCTTGCCAGTTTTCAATAGTTATGACCGCATTTTCAGCTGCTTTCCGGAACACGAGTCTGCTGTCGTGCGAGGGTCGTTCAAAACGCCGTTAGTCTCGCATGGTTTCGTCCTTCAGAAATTTTAGCCACCGTTTTTATGAGATGATCATCATGTTGCACTCATCCTCGCCGACACTTAGCCATGTGTCATTTCCGACTTAACCATTCCCATTACTCCTGAAATAGAGAGTTTCACAACATACCCGACTTTGCAACCTACATTTTCGTGCCTGACCCATGGTCAGAGGTGAACCCTTTTTGTGAGCTCATGAAGGGTCGAATGCACTTGAAAACAATGAGACTGCTTGAGGAAGGTTGTCACCAATGCCCATGCAAAATTTCGACTGTTAATTTCTTGTTGATTCAGAATTATTGACAAAAAAGCATGGCTGGTACCTGTGAACGAACTTTTGAGACACCCTGTAGTAATGAACCACCAAAGACAGCATAGGTTCGTTATTCAAACACCACACCGGAATAACGCGACTCCGCAGCCTGCAGCATCTATCGATCACCCATCACTGTATAACTTATCGGTACATCCCAGATGCCCGCCTCTTACCGTTACTGCGATTACAGTCACCAATCCGAAAATACGAGACGTTTCACCCAACACTCTCCACTCACCGGGGAACATGAGGTACTCGACTCGCGGCACGTTCTGACTGGCCTCTAGAATAGCGTCCACCACACTGAGCAGCAGCTGACGGAGCTCGGGCAGCTCGGGCCGCAGCTCGAGCTGGGGCCGCGTGCCGACCGGGGTGCCCGGGGGCGGGGGAACCACCTCCAGGTGAACCAGTAGAACGGACGGCAGCAGCATCGAGTAGTCGGAGTACGAGCCGCTGAACGCGTTACCCGGCTGGAGGGGAGGGGAGGGTCGACATGAGACTCGCTTTGGTAGACGGGTTGAAGAAGCGGAGTTTAAATACTTTGCAACAAAATAACTCGTGGTACAGATAAACGTGAACCACTACGAGTAAATAGGGTGCATTGAGTCATCGATGTAGCTGCATAGTGCATTTACCAACATAACCAAACATAAAGTGGAGATAATAACACGACATGTAAGATAGTTTGACACACTCCCACACAAGTACGACCGTATGTCGCGTCTCCCCACTCTTGCTCACCGCGTGCACATCAAGGAAAGCCTCGTAGTCGGCCAGTGAGTTGAGCACGGCCCGACGCAGATGGGAGCTCATCAGTGCCGCAGCGCAGCCAAACAGTCTCTCGACTCTCTCCAGGCCGGAGCTGCCGCGTCCCGGCACCAGGCGGCACCAGCGGCTCACCAACTCGGCAAATACGTTGGCGCAGTGGGGCAGCCACCTGATACAGGGGAGGGGAGGGAGGGGAGAAAGACACAAGGGGAGTGATTAGGAGTGCGTGAACGCGAGTGGTGTTTGGAACGAACACTGTCACAACAGTCTGCTATTCGACCGTTTGTGTGATTGTATTTGTATTCGCACGTTCGGTGTCCAAAATAAAATAAGCGGAAAATAAGTTTACAAATTATTGGATGATTTCTCGTCAAAACTTTGAAGATCTTGAAAGAGCAGACCTGTCACCTTCGCGCATGTCAAGCCCAACCTCCTGATCCCCTTTACCGACATCGGCACCCTGACAACTCACTGGTTCATCAGAATATCCCTGGAGGCCTTTATCTGTTCGTGGACCGTCTCCATAAAGGCGGCTGGCTCCAGCGGCAGCGACTCCACGTACAGCGACGGGAAGTCGACGAAACGCAGCTTCTCGTAACTGCCGATAGAGGGTAGCACAGAACAAACATGACATTTTCCGGTTCTGTGGTAAATACTGCAATATCGTACGATTATTGTCTCGTTAAAGTGCGATAAGTATGTGGGGATAACCCTGCGTTGCTGTATCAAATGCCCCGTAGCCCGCGTTGACACTGACCTGCGGTACCAGAGGGTGTTCAGCTGCTGGGTGACGGCATCCGTCGTGAACAGGTTGCGTTCGCAGAACTGCCGTGACAGCAGTGCAGCCTGGTGCCACGGTACCGGGGCGCGAATCACACGGGGACTGACGGGAACAGAGAGCGGTAGTTCAAACGGGTCATACAAGGGTTAGTCTGGGGTCAGACGGATCACAGGAGGGTTAGACTGGGGCTAGATGGAGTCAGACTGGATCCGACGGGCCAGGCAAGGGTCATACTGATGCTAAATACCAGTAAGATAGTTCGTGATACCGTAGATTTTCAGTTGTAAGAAAACGTGTGCGATACTGTCACCGGAAAGAAGGTACCACACCGTTAGCAATAGCTATCACCGTTGAGAGTGTGCCATGCCGTCTATTTTCACTGTAATAGGGCACTGCCGTCAATTCTAATCGTAAGAGGGAACAATGCCGTAGATTTTCGACAGTTAGAGCACAATACTGTAAATTATCACTGGTATATTGCCATACGTTCTCACTTCTCGCCGGTAAGATATAATAAAATAACCGTCGCGTATCACCAATAATAGTGCAGGGCGATACAATCTCACCGATAAGAGGGCACGATGCCGTAGATTCTCAGCCGGTCCCGCTCGGCAGGGTCCCGGAGCACGTAATTCAGTACGGCGGTCCTCAGACTGATCCGGTAATCGTGTTCGATCTCAGCCTCCATAATGTCCCGGACCGCCAGCAGCCTGAGTTGGAGCACGGTAAGACGGGTTGGTGGTGGGCGGTATGAAACGGGGATGGTTGGTACTTGGTAAACGGTGGATGGTGGATGGTGGATGGTGGATGGTGGACGGTAGGCGATGGGCGATGGGCGGTAGGCGATGGGCGATGGACGATGGACGGTGTACATTGGAGTTCGGACGGTGGACGGTAGAAAGTGGATGATAGACCATTGAAGGTTGATGGTGGTCACAAGCGTTTCGTCGCCTTTCGTACCAGAAACAGGATATACTGGATCTCAGAGCAAATACTTGTTAAAATTAGGTTCGATAAGGCATCACCACACAACATAGACTTACAATGCGATTTGAGCCTATCTCAGCGAACATAGCCGTCTAATTACACAGCCGGGGCTCCATGTAACTCTCTGTATGTCAGAGATCGACTCACTTTTTGTTGGCCACCAGCGGCTCGGCTATGCGGCTGCGGACGTGCTGTTTGTTCTGCTCCTGCGGAGGAGCCAGCTGCGAGTCGTCCACCAGGTGGGCCAGGTAGTGTTTGTACCTGACGACATTACACATACAGCGGCGACATTACACAGCTGAGTCGTCCACCAGGTGGGCCAGGTAGTGTTTGTATCTGTCGACATTGCGGTTACATTCGGGGACGGGATGCAAGGTCCGATTAGGCACAGGACCCGCGGCGGATAAGAGGCTGAAAGGTTAATATCCGGTAGCTTTAACCTTATCTGACCTCTTGGGGGCCTATACTGACCTCCCTGTGACCTGTAACCCGTACTGACCTCCCTGTGACCTGTACCCGTACTGACCTGTGACCTGTGACCCGTACTGACCTCTGGACATCCTGCTTTCTGGGCGGCAGCTGCAGTGACTCCCTTGCCTCCCTGTCACCTCCGTGTGACCTGTGACCTGCACTGACCTCTACACATCTTGCACGCTGGGCGGCTGCGGTGCCTCCCTGACCTCCCTGCGACCTGTCCTGACCTCCCTATGACCTCTGTCTCCTACTGACCTCCCAGTGACCTGTCTGACCCCTGTAACCCCCACTGACCTCTGCACGTCCTGTACACTCGGCGGCTGGGGCGCCTCCCTGACCTCCCTATCCGCTATGATGAGTCGCTGTCTGACCGGACTGCACGGTGGACTGGCCTGGCCGCGACGGGCCTCCAGCGGCTCGCTGACGGTACAGAGGCGGGAACGGGATTTAGCAACCACATACAAGTGTTGAGCAGTGCGTGATAAGCACCCAGACCGTGCGATGCATCAAAATTATTGATACATGCAAACGCTAAGTACCTACATATGTATAGTTTTTAACTGAGCGATAGACGTCATAGATGCATAACAGATGCAAATACGATAGTCGATAGAAATTATGATGCATTTTTTTGCGTTTGTGATAGCAGTGGGATATATACCTGCTTTTCTTCTTTTCCGCTCGTATCGCATTGATGTTCATGTTTTTGGCGACACGCTTCTTTTTCTTCGGTTTTGGAACATCAAAGTTGTATAGGACACTTTGTTCATGGAGCTGAAAGCAAGAAAACATGACATTGCTGAATGGTCGTTGGCGTAAATAGCAATGCAACTAATGCGTAATACGATTCGTATGGGCATAAATAAAACATGAGCTCGATGGCGGAGCGATCATTCGTGCCAAGAGGGCGAGGCCAATTACCACCAACGCAGGTAAATAAATGGGCTCAATTATGTACCGCTAACGCTGTTATAGATTCGGGTCATCTCATGACCATATTACTTCATTTTCCCAATTTTAATAAACGGTCGTATCGTCACAATTTCTACAAGCCCCATGCCATGCCATGAATGTATGGCGGCCCTGCTTTCTCCCCATCCCTCCCCCTCCCCAGCTCTCCCCTTCTCATATTGCACAGTACCTTGGCCTGTTCGGCCGCCTTGCGTTTCGCTCCGGCCGCCCTGACCAGCTGCAGTGGCGGCCTCACGCTGAGGTCAATCTTGGCCGACGGACAGCGCCGGGGGCCGCCCTTGGTGCCCGCTCGGAACCGTTCGCTACTGGGCATCGTGCTCAGACGGAGGTCGGCCACGCCGGGGGTGTACGTGTTGGCGATCGACTCACTGGGGGTTCGACGGTGATATACCTCCTGGGGAGGGACACGGGGCGGGGGAGGGGGAGAGGTTACGAGCGGCGGGGAGGGGGGCAGGTGGAGACGTCGAGACTCGAGGAGTGGTAGTGTCGTTGTCGAAAGTTTGCCGAAGAAGAAAGAGCGAGGTGAAGGGTCGCTTGTAGCCAAAAGCGTCAACGTTGAGAGGTCTAGAGCATGAAGGGCTGCTCGATGTTCGCCGAAAACTAGCTCGAATTATCAAGCCGAGGAAAGTTTCAAGTTGTTTTGAATCGAGTGGTCTACGACTTTGCACTTAATTTTTACTTCGAGGAATGGCATGCAAACTCCATAGTCAATGTAGTATTTTGTGTCATCGACCCGTTCACCGTTCACGGCACGGCACCCACCTTGAACGGTACGGCCTGTGTCCAGGTGGGCGCCTCCTGTAGCACGGGCGGGTAGAGGTCGGCGTGCGCCACCCGCCGGTACAGCTGCGAGCGACGCTGGTTGATGGGGTGCGGCGCCAGGCGCGGTACCGAGGCGTGCTCAGAGAACGCCGCCGGCCGCCGCAGCAGGTCGCCCCGGCCGCAGCCGCCCCCGCCCCCGCTCCCAGCACGGCCGCCGCCGCCGCCGCCAACGGGCGGCATTCTGAATCTGAGACAGATAGGAGGATCAGGGATGGAAACCACGGTATTTATTTTGGAAATGGAGAACAATGGAGCGCCGGGTGCCTAGAAACGAATATGTGACAGGTACCTAAGCTCGAGTTGTTTGCATCAAGTTTGCATAGCCTTGGCCCGAGTTTAGGTAGGTAATTCACTGTGGTCGGGTCTTCCTCGCCCATTCCTAGCATAAATGGGCGTTTCACAAAATGCGTGATGATTCTTTTTTACCTGGCAACTTACCTTATAAATTACCAAAGGAGAATATGAGCATCCACGGGTTACAGCTGCCGCTGCGCACGACACTACGGAAAACGGCGGCGGTTGCCGGTTGCACGTTGAACGATCAGCGACGACAGAAACAAATTGTTGCACTTACCAGTTGGGCAGGCTAGTCAGGATGGATACCCAAATCGTCTCAGAGCTCAGCCTTATTTGCTCAGCCCAACAACGCTTCTCCAATCCCACGAAACCAGGCGCAAATAAACACGCGTTTTCCGTGGTTCTCTACCGCAAAATGCAAAGCCGGTGTGGTTGTCATGACAACAGGAATTTGGAAGCACTCAAAAGATATGGAAGCAACTTTTGAAACATATTTGGCGCAGTAATTTCAATTGTAAATGTTCTATTGTGATAATTTGCCTTACCGCTTGCACAGATAGCAAATCACAGTTGTGATTGTAGTTTGAGCCACCCGCACGCAGCACTTTTTTTTTGAATATTGAACAGGTCTCGGATGAAAGCCACGAGTTCTATGGGCAGCTCACTGTTGCTGTTGAATGTCGCGGATGGTAGGTGCATATTTTATTAATTTCTGATTCTGTCTCTGATCGGTGGATTGCTCAGCTAACTTTAACACTATTGCCAATATTTTTAAGCACCTCAGTTGCACTTATTTAGGTACCTACCTACTTGTTCAAATTTAACAACTAATCTGTCGTTTTGAGCTTATAATTTGCACGTTCATTTGCGATAACCACCTATGAATCCATGGTTTCCATGACAAATTTTTGTAAGACTGTTTCAACTGGAAGGAATGAAATGAGCATAACATGACCTGACCTAACCGTACTTAACCTAACACATAACAGTGTTCATTTGAACTTAAACCCAACACGTAAGTTGTTAAACAACTTACGAACACGAGACAAGATAAGTGATATTTAAGATGTTTAACTCCCGAAGACATTTAATCCTCTCCGGCCGAGGGGGGGTTGGTGCCACCCCCCTGACGGTTTTTTTCGCGATTTACGCCGAAGTACGCCGAAAATTTCGGCGCAAGCCGTCGATTTACACCAAAGTACGCCAAAAATTTTCGGCGCAAACGCCCAACTACGCTCGAGTTCTCAACGAAAGCGTGCATTTTTTCCAGTCGGGAGTTGTTTGTACCAAAAATAAAAATATAACTTGCAAACTTACTGTTGGCGGGACTTTGGGTTTGGGAGGCCAGTATAATGGTGAAAACTTGTCAATACAGGGAATCCATGTGTCAGAAAAGTATGTCTTTGAGATTATGAAAGTTCTAATTTGCTATAGTTAAGCATAGTCTTATATAGACACTTGGGCAAACAATGCTTCTGGATTCAAAATATGGAGGCATCAGTAATTTGGTTCTTCTGGGTTAAGTCATGACCATATATCGGCATTGAATAAAAATGGAAAATTTTGATTTGTTTTGGTTTGCTCTTGCCTTCAAATGGTAGAATCTGAAAAGAGGGCACTGGAGGGCAGATAAGTCACGTGATTACTGTGAAATTCTCCACCTTTAAATGCCTTGAAGCTTAGGGTTATCACGTGACTATTTCAAGAGCCTTGATCAAATCGCTCCAGGCACCCTATTTTCAGATTCCACCCTTCAAATGACTACCTACTACGGACGACGGTGAAAACAGGGCGCCTGGGGCGATTTGATCAAGGCTCTTGAAATTCACTTGCACAGGTCATGTGACAACCAGTGTGTGTGTGTGGAGGGCATACAAAGGGGGAGAACTTCTAAATAGTCATGTGACTGCATATGCCTTGCGGCGCCCTGTTTTCACCGGCATCCCCTACTACAGGTTGAAAATGAACAACCAGGTGACTGGTGAGTTGAAAAAGGTCCATATTAGTGATATCTTTTATAAATGGACAGAAAAGAGAAAAATGTTGCATACTTGCAAACCAATACAAGCAAAACCCAATGAGCTTGCAAACCTTGTGATTCTTCTCTGTGTGTGCTAGTGGGTGGTCAGTAGTCAGCACAGCTAATAGGTGCTAGGGAGTTCTATAGCCTTGAGTGCTACCACACACAATTGCATTAATCATTGTGTAGAAGTATGTTACACATCACTTTTTTTCTTGTTTCCATTAGTTGATGACACTGTTGTGAAATTGGAATTTATTTAAGAACTCCATGTAGGTACTAGTAATTGCAGATAACTGGTATTTGTTAAAGGTTTAGAGCAAAAGGTTCTTGGGCATATAGTAAGTTACACATGCAGGCATGTGCAATATGCATCAATGACTGTTGCTCTTTAAATCCATTCTTACATTTGCTATACCGCAATATACAAGTTTTGGACACCATATATGTCATCTATATGTCATTACAGTGAGAAAGGGCGATTGGCACTAGTTGTGGCTTTGAGGATAATTCGCGTTATCAGTGACTCAGTCACTGTGAGTTTAAGGTCAGGAGAGTACACTCATTTGACCTAGGTTGTTGTTCAGTCCAGCTGGCAGCTGAGGAGAGATAGGATAATCTACATCTGATATCTAAATGTCTCCTTTTTGCTATCTGTCTATGTGTTTTGTTTTCCATTGAAGCTAGAAATCAAATATGTCATTATTTGATTCTTTCATTACATGTATCCAAATCTCTATTTGTATTTTTCATCAGTCAATGCCCACTTATGTAGTCAATAGCTAGTATTGACCCTATTCTAACATCTGTGTTGCAGTATTTCTGGCTTCATCTGGGAACGTGGAAGTCGCCATCACTACTGGACGCTGCGCTGTGTTGAAGAAATCTCCTGTAATTTGGACATCTATATTGTGCCTTAACTGTTCATAAGTGACTACTGAGCGTGCTCCCGCCACTGCCTGCGAGTCGACTGCCATCGTCCCGGTGGGAGGCAGTCATGCCGCAGTGATCGTCTAGCCTACACCTGGCCCTCCATGTCAGTCCAATGGCGCTCTTCGGGAACGGTGCAGAGGACGCTGACTTTCTCCCTCCTGACGACCCCGCGGCGGTCACCCTCGAGCCCCAGCCGGAGAATGTGCCCAAGCCAAACTCGAAGTCAAAGCCGCCATCGAAAAGACGGCCGTTTAAGAAGCGTGCGCAACTGTTCACCTGTCCGGTGTGCAACGCGATCGTCAAGTACAAATCCAATTTCAAACGACATATGGAGCGTGTGCACGGACCTAAAGTCAAACGGGCCGCATGTACTGTGTGTCGAAAGCGCTTCAGTGACGTGTACGAGCTACGCAGGCACAAAAAGACTGTTACGCATTTGAAGCTGATGAAGGATGCTGCGACAAAGACTGTTCGTACCGTCAATGGTCCTTATGAGTGTTCCGTTTGCCGGTGCAGTTTTACATCCAAGCGCGCGCTGGAACGACACAAGCACGATGAGAAGCCGCGAGTGCTGCCCTGCGACCTCTGCGGACGAAAGTTTCAAACGTCGGTGGTGTGCGCGGCTCACAGACGGCGCCACTTTTGGCGCGGGCTGCCCCGGTGTCGCGCCTGCGGCGCCACTTTCGCCTCCGAGGTGCATTTGTCGCGCCACATTGGGAACCACAAGAGCGAAACGACAGAGGTGGTCAGGTATTAGATAGATAGCCTGTGCTGTTGGTGGACGTCGACGAGTCAATGAGTGGTATTGCTTGGTTATGTGCGTTTTGTGAGATCATCGCTTCATGGGGATGGGCGCTGTTTCGAGCACACTGAAAAGCTACACGCCAACGGGGATTTCATTCGTGTGACTCTCTGTGTGTTCATAGTTTCGGTTGTTGATCAATTGTTTCATGTGACAATTTTTGATGTGTTACTGTGTGGTACTCTGCTTAGCCTTGTATGTGTGATCGCTTTTGAATATGTTAGGGTGTCCTGGGTGCCCTGTAGGCAATTTAATCACCGGTCTTCTTGTTCACGCTTTTTTTGCCGAACTAATTCATCTTTATTTGTATCATTTGAAGTATCTTAAATTATAGCATCTAAATGCGAATTTTGTAAGCCTGTAACATAATTTTCTTTCGTTCTCATATCAGCTAGGTACACTCGGGGGCAGATTGATGTTCCAACACTCCCTACCCATCGGGCTCCCATTCAGCACTGGCTGCCAGTGGCAGCACTGTTAGCTGCCACTGCCAGTGCTGCCAGTGGCAGCACTGGCAGCACTAGCACTGGCAGCCAGTGCTGAGCCATGGGAGCCCGATGGGTAGGGAGTGGTGGAACATCAATCTGCCCCCGAGTGTACTACATTCGTGGCATGGACAGCCCTTAACGTACATGACCCGCTTAGCTATTGATTTGCTTGTAAGCTCTTCAAAACAAACGGAAAGTTGCGTTAGTTATTTGATGAGGTCTGAGGGACGTACGCTAGCTTTTTTTAGTCTGATAACTTGATTGATACCCACGTATGTGTAAATCGATTTCAGTGCGTCGTATATGTGTTTTCATTCCACCGTTAAATCATAAATGTGCCTCAGAGCATCACAGCGTGAATGTTTTTCAGTAGCACAAAAGTGCAGTTGCATGCACTTGAGTGTATGCATCGGGATTTTCATACTATTGCTGAAGTGTACAAAGTCCGGCATCGTCATTGCAGTTTTCTTAATAAATCGTATCACGTTTTTCAGCGCGAGTGTTTTAAAGAAGTGTTCACTGTCGCGTTGCGCTGAACATTTAGTAGATACACGCATCTCTGATCTTCTCCCAAGGAGGATTGGTTATATTGTAAGTGCGTGATCGTGCGAAATGTTATAATGTTAGTTTTTTGTGGGGCTCTCCAGAAGACGATCAGACCTAGATGAAACAACACATAAACTTTATCTCGCTCTGGAAGCGCCGTATCCGAAGGCGCTTGTCTCTGTAGGTAATTTACTTTGAATCCATTCTGTGCCGAGAGAAGATATGTGCAGAGCTTTGTTGGATGCCGCTTTAGCGGCAGCTCTGATATTGTGCCTTCAGTTCCGCTACACGGGTAAGCCGGTAGAGTCGTGGGTGTTTGATCTAAGTCCGTCTTCTCTCCACCCGTTATCTCACTTGAGTAGGATCCCGGCTGAGGTCTATCTACATAAACATCTGGCGTTTGCTAATTTTGGTAGGTGCTTATACGATTTACAGGTAACAAGGTATGACTTATCTAGCTACTCGCCCCACAGCGCAAGTTCAGGACCATGCTTCCGTCATTTCTGCCTCTGTATTGTCCCTTCTCATTTATTCGTCGCCTCTCCCCCTCCCTCCCTCCTTCTTTCCGCCTGCTGTCTTCTCTCTCCCTCTCTCTCTCTCTCTCTCTCTCTCTCTCTCTCTCTCTCTCTCTCTCTCTCTCTCTCTCTCTCTCTCTCTTTCTCTCTCTCTCTCTCTCTCTCTCTCTCTCTCTCTCTCTCTCTCTCTCTCTCTTTCTCTCTCTCTCTCTCTCTCTCTCTCTCTCTCTCTCTCTCTCTCTCCCTCTCTCTTTCTCTTTCTCCTCAACCCCACTCCTCTTCCTCACTCTTCCACCTCCGTCCTCCCTGTCCTCTATCAGCACAGTCCTCCCTCTCCTCCGTTAGCTCATTCCTCCATCCCTCGGTCTCCTCTCGTCAGTGTCTCAGGTTCCGAGTCTGGTGAAGCGCGACTGCATGATGGACTACTGGGGCTGGCTCTATGCGGGAGACGAGTCGGTCACCTATTTTGATCGCGAGTGCCAAAACTGGATCACCCGGCGTGGAAATCATAAGGTCAGCGTCGAGGAACGGCCGGGAGGTGTGTGATCACTGATCTGAGCGATGAGATTCAGATTGGGGATATTATAACTCTTGCCTTAGCTCAAATATGAGCACGATTAGAACGACTAGTTAGAACGGTTCATACTTCATAACACGATCGAGAGTGGGTTGGTCATCAAAAGAAGATTGAATATCGGAAGCGAAATGGGACAATTTGGTAAATATGGTCAAGGAAGACTATCTAACCCTCCTCTGCGCCTGTGGGCTGCCCCTCCCCCTCCCCCGTAGGCCGTAGTTTTGTGCCGTGTGTTGCATTTTAACCCGGCACCGCCTGGGCTATTTCCGTACCCACATCAGCCTGGGGGGGGTCGGATCCGACCCCCTCCCCCCCCTGTTATCTCGAGAACCAATGGTCGTATCGAGCCCCGCGAGGCGGCGTTCGAAAGGTCTCTACAAGACCTTCCCAAAGCGCTCTTAAGATTTTAAGATTGAGGTCAACTTTCGGGTCAAGGTCAGGTCAAAGGTCAAATTCAGGGGTTTTGCATGATTAGGCTTACGGACAGCGGAATCGATAGCTGCTGCTCGAAACTCACCACAAATGACCTCAAAGACCTAGTGAAGGTACCATGTGCGTATAGGGGTCATACTAAGTACGGGTCAAGGTCAGGTCAGGTCACGAAAGGTCACGGTTTTCACTTTCTGATACTCATACATGGGCGTGCGACACATGTTTTATGGCTTATTTTTCACGCCAAATCCGATGGTAATGGTTATATGTGACCCCAAGTCACTGTGCTGGTGATAAGTGTGCATTGAAAGCATAAAAAATCGTTTATTCCATACATAACTAAACGAGGGCTAAGAAAAAAGGTCAATTTTTCAACTTTTTATTTTTGACATAAAAATGCACTTTTCTAGACGAGCTTTGTCCCAGGAATCTAGTGGTGCCATTTGTTTTTACATGCGATGTTCAGAAGTGCCTCTAATTCGCGAAAATGCTTATGACGTCACCATGCCCTATGCATGTTGGAGCTATTTTTACAATTTGGGGGTCAAAAATCAAGATAGAAAGTTGAAATTTGGGACATCTAATGTTCTAATAGAGCTCTATAACATATATTCCGGTTTTTTGGAAATTCTCAAAATTTTGGATTTTATTAGCTGTTTTCCAAAAAATACAGTTTTTTGAATTTTTAGGGGTGAAAAACGCATTTTATGGAAGATCCGAGATAGCCATTTTAAAGAACTCGTTGAGCTGCGTCTTTTCGTGTCCTTAATTTGCAATTTGCTTAAAATCTCGATTTTTGGCGATTTTTTAAACATTTACCATTTTTTGACTGAAAACGCCATGTAGTTACATCACTAAAATCGATATATCTCAAAAATTGTTGAGAATTTTTTCTTAAAAATTGCACAGGAGACGTCAAATTGATGGGGGAGAAGGTATGCGAAGTTTCAAGTTGATAGCGCAAGCGGTTCATGATTTATTCAAGAAAAACGGAGGGGGGGGGGGTCGGATCCGACCCCCCCCCAGGCGGTCGCGGGTTAAACGTGGAAGTGGTCAGTTTTTTTTTGTGCCGGTATGCTCCTTTTTAACCCTCGCATGTGTAGGGGGGTCGGATGGACCCCCCATGGTTTTTCGCGAATAACTCGCGTAAAAAGCGGCCGATCGCGACGAAACTTTCAGTACCCTCGCATTTATCAATTTTACACCTACCCTGAAAATTTCATGACCCTGACCCCAATGACCTTTGACCTGTGACCTCTTTTCCGAGACCATGTTTGGCCGGAATCGCGATTCCGCGTATGTCGGCTCGCATTAGCCGCGCGTTTACAAGCTTTTCGTGGTTTCAAACGTTCAAACATGTGATTTGATGTTGCTCCCATGCATTAGGGTGGGTGTCAAGGTCACCTGAAGGTCAGGTCAGGTCATTGACCTTTGGTGACCTCGGTTCACTTTTTCGAGTTTTACATGTTTCTAGGCTAGTTTTTGGAGCTGAATTCGAATTTGGCAACCATTTGAACATTTACGAAGTAGTTTTGGTGACTTCGTAACATGTTACGAAGCTGTCAGAGGCGGTTGACACGTAATACTAATACCCGTCACGACGCCTACTGGTTGACCTGACCTGACCTGACCCGACCTGGTCTAAATGCTTAAAGACATCATCTGTGATCAAAACTAACACGATATTCGTGATCAGCACCCCGAAAAACCCCTTAGCAGCCACACTTTACGACTTTCTAACAGGTCCCGATTTTCCCGACCTTGGGTCATTGACCTAACCTGGAAGGTCAACCAATGACCTAGGACCTTAAAATTGGGTATCATCGGCTTCCTCTCGTCACGGGCAACACGCTCGTTTTTTCCGCGAAGCTCTAGCTCGATCAGGGGCCAAACGGCAAGGGGGGGGGTCCAACCGACCCCCCCCCCCCTACACATTAGAAGCTGGAAAACGCCGCACACATGCGAGGGTTAACATTTATTGAATAATTAAAGGTTCTGTGATTTTTGGTTTTGGATATATGACCTTGTTATTCAGGTCATGCCCCCAATGTCAAAGTTCCGATACTTTGCATGGATGCTGGTCTTGTAATTTGTCAGCTATTTACCTACGCCTTTACTGCTTTTTAAAGAGGTTTGTCGTATCGTAAGCATAACTCGAAGATGCCTGAGCTCCGCTTTTACATTTTACCCACTCGAAGAATTAAACTATACGCTAATGGTCAGTCAGTTGTCTTGTCACAATGTCATTCCTCATTGCACTCCAAGAAGCAGCATCGAACTTCAGCCAGACAATATATGTACGTCGTGCACGTCACAGTGTATATAAATAGTGCACGTTACGGTGTTACCTGAAGCGGCCCTGTCTGGGTAGACTGTGCCGCCGCGCTGCCGTGTCCTGCGGCACAGTAGGTATGTATATTACGGCCCGGGTCGACCGGTAAACGGATCGTGTGTCTTCGGCCAGGTGGACCCGAAACTGGAGTTTTACGATCCCGGCGCAAAGGCAAGGCCGGTAACAAGTGCAGACAGGCCTTCAAAAACGGCCTGCCTCTTCGACCGCGACCCTGGTGAGTATAATAGTCATCGGTAGGTAGGTGAATTACGAACGTGAAAAGTCGGGATTAAACACTGGCCTTGATTGCCGCGTTAATTGCTTCTGCAGTGCAATGTAGGTATGAAGGGATGTGGTCCTGACCCCGACAGTTTCATCACACCTTTCCTAGCCTTCTGTCCTATCCTTCATCTCCTTTCATCCAGGCTATGCAGTCTACTTTCGAAACTCCAGTCTCTCGTTACCTTTCATTTCCCTCCAGTCAAACGTTATAGACTTAACTCCCATTAGCTTTATACAGGTGATCTCTTCAGGTGTCACACGTCTTACACCAATCCAGGTCTCAGGCGAACCCTTGTTATGCATACAGTAACAGTCGA